AAAAAAACAGGGCAGACCTCGTTTTCGAGACGCTACTTCGTGGGACAAAAAGGTCAAAACAAGCTAGAGCCCTTCCACTTATGATATATTTTCAAAGTAATAACATCTGTTGCTTATCTTCACAACATTGGTTGCACAGAAGACAAGAAAGATGTTATGTCGAATGAAATAGGCTTTCATATTTGAACAATTGCTTAGGTAACTTTGACAAGAACCCTGCCTATGGTGCGAGGGTGAAACGTTAATGACCTTTATCCAAATGACCCAATCCAACTTCTGCCATTTGCCACTTGTCACCCTTGCTACCGGATACTTCAAAGATGTTAGAGGTGGATCCCTTGTAGCTAAGCTTTAAGTACAGCGATCCAGTCCAGGCACTGCCGCTCTTGAGGTACATGTGATAGTAAAACCTCACTATACAACCTGCTCCTGTCTTGGTCATGTTAGGACTTTGAAGAATAGCATTATCGAAGAATGACCCCGCACCGGAGTGGACATAGGCGTAGTAACCTAAAATGTGAACAAATTGTGAGATTGGCAGGCCAAATTAATGCCTTTGCAACTCTCCAGTAGCATTATGCTAGAAGATTGTCACAAGATCCTTACTACGATGAGTCTCCATGACTCTAAAGAACCAATCGATACCCATAGATCGAGATCCTGTTCGAATTATCCACGTTTCTTCGTTTCTCCTTCCGAGTAAACGTTTTCATTTTTGTCCTGACACAAGCGTGGGACAAAGAAAAAATTCTGAGCCCCACGAAGGTCAAAGCCTCTGACCTTCAGCGCTCTACCTTCCAGTTAGAAAGAACTCTAAGGTAAGATAAGCGACATGCGTCCTGTATACTGTTATGCCTTAAAAGAGAGGAGGGAAAAATGAAATAACAGGCATGCCTGAGAGACTTATTGCTAGCTTAGATGGGTTCAAGAAGTAACTGTAGTTAACTGTAAAAGGTAACTCACACGAAGTATTTCCGCAGGTGTGGTCAATGCTGGGTCCTGTGCCCGTTGCCACGGTTGAACCTTTGTTTCTGCTCCACTGGTACACCCCCAGACTGGTATCTTTCCAATTACACAAGCCAGATTCAAAATCACAAGGACCTTCAAAAAAGCAACAGATCATTAGCACACGTATTTAGGACAAATTTCAAATGCAACCACTATGGAAGGTTAAGTCACGAAAATGAGGAACAGTTTTGAAAGCGCTGATTGAACTTAATACATACCACAGTTAACTTCATCTGAGCCATCTCCGCAGTCATCCCTATAGTCACACACATATCCCCAGTCGATACAAGGTCCATTGGAACACTTGAATCTAAAGCCTGGGCATACTGGGACAGTTGGGGCTGCTGTGGTTGGCGGAGGCGCTGTTGGAATTGGTCCATTATAGGAGCGACAGAACTGGGTCATTGACAGGTCATCAATGGAAATGTCACCTTGATAGCTTGTACCGCGGACACTTTCAATAACAACCTGGAAGCAACAAGCATGTTTTTAATGCTTGCACTTAAGTGCTCCGTGGGCATTTTAGTTACCTTCCTCCCAAAAAATGAAATTAATTCAGTGCAAAACAAACAAATGTATAGGAAACGCTCTTACAGCTAGTAATGAAATAGCCAAGACAATACTTATACCAATGGAAAATGGCAAAGGCTATTAGACTGTGGCAGTGACAGCGGCAAAATTAAATGAACTTACAAAAGTGTGCGGGAAAAGAAACGACATTTGACCCAAATTTCAAGTGTTCCATTGAACGTTTAAAGCACTTAATAAGCAGTAACAAATTTTCCACTTTGACTCAAACAAAGCCGGGTCAACGCGTATTAGAGATAGCCTGCTTTTCATGTTTAACCCAAAATAACGTGCAGAAAATACAGCCTACCGTCTATAAAGAATCTTGCATAAATTTTTTTCAGCTTTTAATGCTAATATCAGTCAACAAAGAATCAATTTTCATACTTGGAATGGGACAGTGCTCGGAAGGGAAACCTCGGCGCGATCCCAAAAGTTGCCCACATTGCCTGATCTCGTGTACACAAGAGTCTCTGCACAACCGTTACACGGCCGGGTGTAGATATTCAGGGAACCAATGGCGGCTCCGAACATGTGAAAATAGAACCTCAACTTGCAAGAGGTGTCACCTTGGGGCAAAGCGCTTATAAATCCACTTGCCAAACGAGCTTTGTCGCCTTTTTTACGTGGCCAAGAAGCTTCCGAGTAAAGGTAAGATCCTGGACAACAAAACAAAGTGAAAGGAAGCGGCGTTAATTCTAATTCTTATCGAGGACAATGCTTGGACATCATTTGTCGTTGATAATCTACATAAAGCTAAATTGGGATGACTTAAAAGCCGTACATTTGAGAGGAAATGAAGGGAGAAATTGGCCCACTAAACTCAAAAGTAAACTCGCGTATATCAAATTTGTGTGCACGGCATTTTGAAGATTGAAGATGTAGTTACAATTTGCATCTATTACGAAGGAGGTTTAAGACCTTAGGGTATTACATTTCAACGCTTGAAATGAACAAAATTTAGTCAATAACTTAGACAGACACTTTCTAAAAGACCCTAATCAGCTTTGGACGCGTGGCAAATGGTGGAGGAATCTTCTAATTTGGTAAACGGGTCAACAGGAACCTTTATAACTTTGCTCAAGACTAAATCAATCTCACGACTTAACAAAACAAATTGCATTGGGAGAAACACAAGTTTTTCTTTCAGCAGCTTTCTCCATTAACAATATTTGAGAGCAGCTCATCCCCATCTTCTATCTGAACATTGTGATGAAGCCACATTACCGGCTGAGCTGCCAAGAGTGTGGTCGAACATAGGTCCCGTTCCGTAAGAACCTGTAGACCCTTGGTTTCTCGTCCAGTCAAAGTCATCATCAGACAGTTGATTCCACCGGCATAAAGATTGCTCAAAGGTACACCTATGGAGAAAAAAAAAGCACAATTTAGTTCTGCAACTACTTTCAAAATCTCCTTGAAAGTTTAAGAAAGCTAAGCTTAAATGTTAATTGTTTATGGCGAGAAATTCGGTGCAATCTCCATTCTAAAAGGCAAGCTGCCTCTACCGTCTAATGTCGCTACCAACCCTCCAGACGCTCTTTGCCTATCGACCAGAATTTAATTTAGGAGGACAGTATAAAAAGAACGGGGGAAAAATTCAGTACGTTCCTTAATTTGCGGCACTTTTCGACGAATACTAGGCTAAGAAAAACTTCAGGAGGTGTTTCTTTGGCCAAATTTAGACGCAATTTAGAAGCATCTATTTTTGCAACAATGATAAAATTACGAGGAAAAAGTTGATAGATGCAAAACGAATTTTCATATTCAGCAATCTACAATTTTCTACTAGTCGAAGTTTTGATTTAGAGACTCGAGGGTCTGTTCGCATCTATTAAGCAAAATCATTGTACCATCTGTTTACCAAATCACCGAAAGTTTAGCTTCGAATTGACAAGTGACCTCGACACCATACCTATAGTTGTAACTGTAACAGTTGACTTCATCTGAGTTATCACCACAGTCGTCAGTATAATCACAGAGACGCCCTGGATCAATGCAGGAACCTCTGGCACATCGATGTTGACCTCTCTTACAATTGCTAACAACAGGAGGCAGGGTACAATTCTCGAAGCTAACATCATCTATAGCTATATCACCAAAAACATTGTAGCTCCTCTCTGCCTCAAAAATGACCTTGAACGGTCCTGAGTGACGGCCAACGTACAGTTTTCCTTGGATCCACTTGTTACCTTGGGACCGAACAGAATCTTAGTTAGCCAACATTTGCACAATTGTCGCAAAAGTTATGATTAACCTCTCTTCTTTACAAGAACTTAAGCAAGATGCAATTATAACAGAAATTTATGTTGGAAGTCTTATGACAGTTTTTACTCAAACAACAAATCTTTCGATGCGACACATTGCGGGTTCCTCTTTCGGATGGTAAGGTTCACCACCTTCCCACGACACTTTGTTTCCACATCAACAAAATAATGTATGAAGGATGTTATTTCTTCTTTTGTTCACCATTTCAAAACAAAATAAACTGGATTAAAAGAAATGTTGTCTTCATGAGATTATTTTGTAAAGTAATAGTCAACAACCAAAATTCAGAAGTCTAGCATCCATTTCCTGGCCTGTGACATGAAATCACTTGCTTGTTTGTTAAATTGTAAGAAAGTACAATCATCACTTCAAAGAGTCTTTCTTTTCAACAGTACAATTTTGCGGCAGCATGCTACACAAATGAATCAGAGCAAAACGTGTTTTACATTCCATACCTTTGTTACCCCATTCTTCAAACAATCTCGTGTAAATCTGTCCAACTTTAATATAACCATACAGTGTACCGATTCCACTGCCATACATGTGGTACCAAAAGCTAACCACGCAAGTTGATGCAGACTGTTGCAACCAAGTGCTTTCAAAACGCGCCAGATCCCACGAATTACCTTGCGAAGCCTCTACATACATATAGTGACCGAGTGCAGTGCCTTGGGGAAGTGGAGGGAGAGAAAAAATTCTTTAATGACAGCTCGAAACTTACCATTTTTCTTCAGTTATCTCTTCACACAAACACACACACACAATTTTTTACCCTCTTGATGGCCGCAGCAGGCAGGATGCTTTTCACGTATGAACCTATCATAAGGCGTTCGGCTCACTACCGAATTTTGGGCAGAGCATGGGACCACGAAATACATAATAAGGTCTCAGGATCGAGTCTTCGTTAAAAGCTTACATTCCTCCCTTGACTAGCATTCTGTTCGACTCATATTCAACGGTTGGGAAGCGACCATTTTCGCGCCGTTTTCGGGGTTATAACTAATAGTTTTTAACTCTTTCATAATTTCTCCTTACAACATCAATACCAATCCAGCAGATAAGTTATGAGAAAAAGAAAAAATTTCAATGAGGGAAATACTAGTTGATCCAATACCAGATTGTCCCAACAACTATCAAAAGAATTTTATGCGAGACAAAGGCGATTAATAAAATCTTGGGGGTGAAAGAGTTAATTTTGGTATGAAAAATAGGATGATTTAGACCATTGCATTTTCTCTTCCAGTCAGAGACTAAGAAACCCAAATCATTTCCACAACAATCCGTCATTCATGTTGCATACGCTCGCATTATATTAGCAAGGAAGCAAATATTTTCACCACAGGTTTAGCGGTTTGAATTTTTGTCAAACATTGATGGAAGGCTATCAATTTTTTTTGGAACTTTGTACGGTGACAGCACCATCCATCAAAAGAACAGAGCAACACAATCCAGCGATCAAGTTCCCTCTGCTTTACGTCCCTATAAAAGTACACGTTTCGTTACGCAAGAGATTTTGGCCTACCTATCGTGTGATCCACACTTGGTCCAGTGTTTTTGGATGGTGTGCCGCCCTGATCTCTTTTCCAGTCGAATGCGCCTTTACTGGTGTCATTCCAGCCACATTGTCCTAATTTTTAAAACAAGAGCTAGTGAATTGAGGGACAAAAGAAGCAATAGTACACAAATTCACACTTCAACGCTTTTATAAACCTCACGAGCTTTTGAAAAACTCATTGAGAGCCGCATTGCAAGTCACTGTTTTTCTTCTGAGTTCTCGAACAGCCTTATTACCCTTACAGTTTAAATTTTCGTTGAGATACGTACAATATTTAAAACGCAAACAACTACAAGTGTACTCGTATGCAATGACTAAAACACTATCTAGCACAAAAGAATAATAATACGCTGCGGTATGCAGAGCATCTATATATCATTATCATGTTGCTTTTAGTTTTATTTTTGAGTTTTGTTTGGAAAGGATAGAGGCTTACAACAAAAAATGAAGGGAAAGGGCTTTATAACAACAAAGACACTTAAGACAGTGGAAGGAGCCAATAAATCAAACATTTCTTGCCTGTTTCAAATGTACAGTCCCCACAGTTCTGCTCGTCAGTATTATCACCCACTCCACAGTCATTGATAAAGTCGCACACATTGGTTGAACTGACGCATTTGCCAGACTTGCACTTCACAGCGCATGCGTTGGGTGTGGGAGTAGGAGTTGGACCTTAAAACACAAGAGGAAACAATCTTTTTCAATTTCCTTTTCAGTGTAAACAAAAAGCAAACCTGTTTTGTATCATACTTCAACCATTGAAAGCTCCCTTAGTTAATTTGTTTGAATACATTTTCAAGTCAAACTTACTTCTTTATTTCAATGCCTACAACAAAAAGAAAGAAAAAATGTCCGGTGCGCCAGTCCACGACCTGAGCACAACGCGCATAACCAGACATATCTTAAAACGAATAGAACCATTCTTATTCCCCAGTCCAACTTAGATGGTTGTTTTATAAATCGAATATCGCAACAGAATATTGATATAATATCACTGTGCAATGAGGTACTTAGATAAAGCAACAATCTATGACAAATGAGCGTTCCTTTCCGTTCTAACAAGAGGGCGTTGTGTAATTCCAATAGTTCATCGTCATCATTTATCAGCCACTTCAGAGGTAATATTTTTATAAATTCAACAGTATGGTATGGAGAGGAGACCTCCAAGAAAGCACTAGGTTGATAGGCTTGTAGACTTATACTTACTTGGACAGTACCCCTTTGTCACGTCAATATCATCAATGGCAATATCAGCGTCGTAGGAGGCACCAACTGAAGCTTCAAATACAACCTGCAAAAGAGCAAGAACAGAGGGTCACCTCATCGTGGATTCAAAAATACGATTTAACTGAACAAAACATTTTACCAAATATTACAGCACTTCACAAATTACACAAAAAAAAAAAACCAACAAACACATAAAAACTTCTTAATCAAGGTCAACTTATAAGTAACGTTAGAATTCCTGATGCAGGGCCATTACCCTAACCAGACAAGTTAATACAGCGAACTCCGATTTAAAAAAAGATTGCTAAGAATTCCTTTCAAATTATCGTTACGTTAAAGTAATAAAAAGAGGGGATTGCAATTTAGAAAATGAGTCGTCAAAGTGTTCCTAAACCAATTTTCAGAGAGATTAATGTCTCAGCATACCTCAAAGTCATCGGCACTGTTAAGCTGTATTTGTTGAAACAACCAACTATCCCCGTGGTTGTACTGATCAGCCCATTTAGTGTTGTAGTAGGGCTTACTGGGGTTAAATGGATACATTTTCAGCTTCACTTTAAGAGCCCCGACACTGTTACCATACATGTGGTACCAGAACTTCAAGCACCAGTTATGGCCGTCCGCGATTTTAAATCGATCTGACACGAGCCTGGCAGTCTCTCCTTTCACTCGTGGTGCAGACGCTTCGATGTACATGTAGTGACCTAAATAGAATAAGAGAGATGTGAAGTTTTGAGCGCGGTAAATAAATAAAAATGATGTTTTTCGTCTTGTTACGAGCGTGGGGCAAAGAAAAAATTCTGAGTCCCTATGAGAAATCGAACCTCAGACCTTCGGATTCCATTCAGAAGGATTTCAGAGCATCTGGGCGCGGAATCCGTAGGTTTGAGGTTCGATTCCTCGTGGGGACTCAGAATATTTTTTTTTATTTGCCCCACGCTCGTGACAAGACGAAAAACATATTTCTCTATGTAGCGACCTGTTTGTACGGACCAAGTTAAAATGTAATTCGTATATCGAACTTTTTCTTTCATGAGGCTCTTTTCCTTTCTACCAAGCTAGGAATACTTTGCAGGGTTTTTTATGCCATGTAACAAGTGTTGCGCGACATCTGACTATTCGCGTAGTGGACCTTATGGGACGAATGAGAAACGCAAGAAGATAGAAGACCTGATAGATAGGGAAAATTTCAAAAAGGAAAAAAAAATGATACGCTAGTACGCCTTATTAGTAAGATTGGACTTCAGCATTGTCATTTGCTTATTTTCTTAATCATAAATGACAACCCAGCTGCATGACTGGTTTAAAAAAACAACAACAACAACAACAACGACAACAACAAAGAACATCAAAAAGCACACAAAAAAACAATAAACAAGGCTTAAAGATTTCTTATACCAGTCTCAAACTTATTGCATCAAAAGAGGGCTTACAACTTATCGTCTTTTATACACTTTATCGCCCATATTTGTAAAACAACTAAATTACCATTAACAGAATTAGTTGTGTGATCAACAGATGGTCCAGTTCCAATGCTTCTAGTGTGGCCGGAGTTTCTCTCCCAATCAAAAACGTCATCCACCAAGTCATTCTGATACGCGCATAAACCTTTTTCGAAATCACACGAACCGGGTGGTGGGCAGGGGCCACTTTTGACATTGGTGTCGTCAATAGCAATGTCTCCTCGATAACCACGCCCTCTGATGCCTTCGAACACAGCCTAAGAAAACAAAGAAAATATAAATAACTTGACTGAAACACTTTCCTTTTAATGCTAATTTTAAGAGCGAACTTAAGAACCTCATTACGGAGAAATTTCTATTCATCAAAAATAGTGCCATGAGTGAATAAAGAAAGTCTATAGAGTCAATAACAGAGGCAAACTAGCGCTTTCTTAAGAGTGGATCAAATACAGTATAACCCTCAAAAACCCTAGGGCTGATATGCATCGCATTTTTCCTTATTATATCACTCGTAAATCAAATGTTAGAGCCATGAGAGTACAAGAAAGAATCAAGCTCTCTATTGTTACACAAACGTTCAATGTCCTCTCCAGTACCTTGGGAAGTGTATAAGAATGTTGTGGAGAATATGCATACTGATCTCGGAAGGTTAAGGAATAAATATATGGTTGTGCACCTTGAAAAATGAGCCAACAATTTCAAGCGTTAACTCCTTCTCCTTATTAAGACCTCTGCACTGCAAACTTAACTACAGTCCTTCAAACTTAGTTGCTAACCTTCCACTGAGTGTTTGGACTTTGTACTGTTATCATTCCTCTTAGCCATCTATTCCCATGATTGCCAGATGCCGTCCAAACTCTCGACCCAAGGGTGTTGCCACGTTTGATGTACACATTAAGTCTACCAATTCCACTTCCATACATATGGTACCAGAATACCAAACACTTTCCATTACCATCTGTTACGCTATAAGTAGGAGATTCCAGGCGGGCGTAGTCTCCAGGTTTGCGAGGTGATGACGTCTCTATGTACATGTAGCTACCTGGAGTAAATATAAACATGACAGCTCTTAACTGTTTAAAAAGTCAATTTTTTATTTAATATTCTCCGACCGAAAAAGTATCTAAAATATGGTAAGATGGTAACTGCTCGTATTAAATGAAACATAAATATGCGAATAATTCATATGTTCAAAGACTGTGAAACATGTTTTTTCAATTAGTCATGGAAATCTCATGTATCTCCTCTAAATGGCCACCAATTGCGAGCACTAAGCTGTATATTTGACTCACCGAATGCAGTGCCGGAAGTATGATCAAATGATGGCCCGGTTCTGACTGAGGTCGTGTTACCACTTCCTTTCGTCCAATCAAAGATGTCTCCTTGGTCTTGGGTGAAGCCACAGATCTTAGGATCCTCAAAGTCACATAAGGCTGAAACAAGAAAAAGATAGATGAATGAGAATAGCACGATGGAAAGAACAAGTCGTGCGTATCCACCTGAAAATTTCTATACCTCCAACGTTGTAACTACACTGCCTTAGAAGATACAAGCAATTTATAATCTCCAAAAACTAGAAGAAAACCGTAGATACAGAACAAAACACCAATTTCCAACAAAAATTCAAATCAAATTTTCATAAATATCTCTTTAATTGACGACCTCTTGACACAATACCCTTCATTTCCCTGAGCAGGGCGTCAATGTAATAGAAAAGGGGACTCTTACTTTGTGTAGAAGACAGTACACGTCACAAAAGAATTTCATCGCAACTGGGAATAAAAAAAACAGTGAAAACAATAGCGTGACGTATACTGTGTCTTCTACACCAAGAAAGAGCCTAAAAGGGGAAAGAATCGGTAAACTATTCCAAAGTATTGCGATCTCAATGACGTTGTATCAAAATTTTTGTTGTAGATTTTGGATATCAAGACTATGTTTTGGCGCCACTTTAACGCCGTCATCATGTTATCACATCTTGCAAGAGAAACGAAATATATCTTTATCACGCAAGTCAGATAATAGATACATAAATGAAATCAGTTTTGTTACAGAATTTGCTTTGTGCGCGTACACAACTTAGAGAACCGTTTGTGATTCATGCATTAAGTACTCTATATAGAGAAAAAAAAACAATCTAAGAATTTTAGCTTACGCAGGAGAGGGCAAGAACCATCCAAAACACGAAGATCATCCAAAGCTATATCGCCTTGGTAGCTTTCACCACGTTTCCCTTCAAAAGCAAACTGAAAAAAAATCCATTCCGTTAGTATCAGTTATGTGTTCCTAGAGATTTAGGTTATCTTAGGTTTTTGTGGTTGCAAGGGAAACCGTAAAAACAGTGATGGACGCAATTTCCAAACTGTTGCTCGCCTGCGAGGACCATGGCGATATTTGATTTTCAATACGCAGGTGAGATGAAATTTACTTTATTACAAATTGAATCAGATTCCCCCGAGGAAAAGAAGAACCCTCTACAATGTCCCCCACTCCCGACGTGTGGCTTCGTAGCTCAATAAGTAGCAGCGCCCAACCAGTATTTGGAAGACACAGGTTCGAATCCCGTCGAAGCTCGAATTATCTTCAAGCTTCTTTTCTGCAATTGCCATTTCCTAACTCTTGAATCTGCCTTACGGACAAACATCCCCAATTAAACCTCACCTGGAAAGGTGTACTGCTCGTCACAGCAACTTGGCCCAGTTTCCAACTGTTCCCCTGGGTGCCATTTTTAGTCCACACTGGTTGAGCAGGAATCTGTTGTCCTCGTTTTAGATACAAGTTCAATGTATCTACATGCTGCCCATGCATATGATACCAAAACTGTAAGCAAACCATGTTGTTAGGTTTGCCGATTGTTGCAGGAACCACTGCACTCTCGAGAATAGCTGTGTCGTTCTGCCTTTGCCACGATGTTTCTATATACACATAGTAACCTGCAAAGAGAAAGCAAAGTACTCATGAATCAGCTAAAAAGATACTCGATTTCGAATTATAAAGAGAATGAAATCAAGTGAAAATACTTACTGTATAATTTTTAAACCAGAACACCACCAGTTTTCCTCTGTGAGTCTAAAGGAATTTTAGCGGAAAATAGCCAATTTTATACCCACGTGTGGTTTTCTAGACCCGAACTGATTCAATTCACTACGAAACCATTCACAAACAATGAGATCAAACAAAAATTTCCCCGTTTTTTTTTTTTTCCTGTGGCAGAACTGCACTGATCCGAGATCGGTTAACTCGGAATATTACGTAACTCCTTTCCTCAGAGCAAGAGGGCTAAAGCATCAATTTGTCCAAAATAAACTGAATCTGAGTACTGACCTTTTTTACTTCCGGTTGTGTGATCCGCTGTTGGACCGGTTCCAATAGAAGGTGAACCACCGGACTGTCTCCACCAGTTGAAGTCGTCCTCCTTAGAGTTGTTCCAGTTGCAGAAGTCTTGCTCGAAATTGCAGTCCCATTTGGATGGTGGCAGCGTTGTGGGTGGGGCTGGGGTGGTGGGGAAAGGTGTTGGCCTGCTGGGTCCGTGGAAGCACCAGGGAACGTTTGGAACAGAGCTATCCCAGCAGCAACCGCGAGACTGGCACTGAGTTGACGAGATTCCAGCGTAGCCACAGTCTTGCCTGGAAAAAAGTTAAATTGAATTTCATAAATGTTTGAACCTTGTCCTGGCTAGCAACTGGGAGAAACATTTAGGAGCGACAGCGCTTCAGCACCAGAGAGGTCATGCACGACATTTACGTTGAATTTACTGAGAATACAAGATGTTTTGCCATATTTCTTCCACGTTAATTTGGGAATAATAAAGAGAATTGAAAACCGGAATCCAATCATGCCGCTTGCCGCCAACAAGCGGCCCCATGTTTTGAATTACGCAAGAGCCGTTGAGTGATGATGCTTTTGAACCAAAATCGTCTTTATCATAGGGGATCGGTATTGCTACTTTTGCACAATATACCGTACCTCATCGCCGGCTTGACACTCTTGCATGCACTGGGATGATAAAAGCAGTACGGAACGTTCGGAACAGAATCGTCCCAACAACATCTTCGCAGACCCACACAGGTTGCCTTGGTGATACCAACATAACCACAGTCTACTCGCTGCTGAGAATTGACAGAAGAACACAGTCCTATACAGTAGCCATCGTCGAACAAAATGTCGTCTATGGCGATGTCGCTATGGTAGTCTTTTCCCCTTACACCTTCAAAAATTATCTGATAGCTTGTCCTGCTGGTTACTGTCACCTCTGCTTTGCGCCAGACATTGCCCTGCAGAGCAGAAAAAAATGGTAATCCAAGAAAGACTAATTAATGAAGGATGAGTGTAATGAAGGCAAGGTTACAGAGAGCATGTTGGTGAAAATGTGTCTACCTGTGAGCCGTTGAGGTTCCAAACCAAACTCTCTGGCTTGCCAACTTGTTTCATGTAGATATTAAGGTTGGCAACGGTTGCACCATACATGTGGAACCACCATGACATGCACTTTCCAGTAGTGGAAGCGAACATTTTACTTCTCAATCTGGCTATTTCACCTGACTTTCGAGGACTTGATGTTTCAATAAAAGCGTAAGTTCCTTTAAAGAACCAAAAACAAATACGTCAAATAGCCCAAATATAAAAACGATTAAACAAAAATTCCTGAAGAAAATCTTAACGAATTTTCGAGTGCAGTGCATCAAAGGCATCAAAAATTATATTAGTAATTATACGTCTTGGGCATTGTTACGGTGGTGAAACAGCAGTAAGTTGTTCAACATACGAAACCCACGACTCCTTTTACAAAGCCACTTTAAACCTACCGACGGCGGATCCAGTCGTGTGATCACTCGACGGTCCCGTTTGGTAACTCGGTGTGCTGCCACTTCCCAGAGTCCAATCAAAATCATCCAGACCCGAAGACCTATTACCATTAGGTACATTGAGCCATGCACAGAAACTCTTTTTCTCAAAGTCACAACTTCCTGTGTTCAAAAAACAAATCATTCAAATACAAAAAAACAAGTTCAGTACTGTCAGGTGTAATAAGGAAACACGCTTTTAGTTGAAAAAAAAATTGTTTGTGAATTTAGCATGGTCATTCAATATCTCAGTTTTAAGAAATTATTAATCAACCAGTATAATTTCCTAACTATTTAATATATATTTCAAAGCTATGCAGCAACTCAAAACATACATATCCAAAAAGGAAAGCTAACAGAAGGTATGAATAAATAAAAGAGGGTGGCTATCGAAGGTTGGAAGATTCTTGGTTAAAACGACTGAAATGTTCGTTAGTTATGAGGTATGAATCAATAAAAGACGGTGGCTTTCAAAACTTGAAAGGTTCTTAGTTAAAATGACTGAAATTTACGCTAGTTATGAAGCTCGAGAATCAATGTTCTGCGCTGTGAATTTGTAATTTCGCTAGTACTGCTTGTCAATTTGAAGTTAATAACTCACATTCAAGAGAACAAACCAAGACGGTAAATGACATACTGTAACATTGTGCCTTTAAGGCCCAGAGGTTTATTTTTCACGAAACTTTCAGTGTAATTGAAATCAAGCTCTTTTTGGCTTGTTTCCAGTCAAGACTTGCCCTCAGAGAGCTTTGAAGGTCATCGAAAGGAGAACATCATTTGCATAGGACACAAGGCAAAGCCATATTTTGAAATACGAATTAAAAAATTAATTCATAAACCCTAAGTAAACACTGGATAATTAAATACGAAGAACAACCTTCTGGTGGACAGGGGCTGTCATCAATGCTCAAGTCATCAATTGCAATATCGCCCTTATAACTCTGGCCTCTGATTCCTTCAAACAAAATCTTGGAAGAAAACAGTAAAACTTATCAACATTATACTTGTCGTAAATGAAGTTTTCTTCCACCATCATGGTTTGAAAATAAATAAATGTCATTGCTACATATGCGTGATCGTCTATTTTTGAAATGAATTCATAATTCTCTAAAGAATCTCGCGAAAGGGTGGATGGTTTACTGTATCGAGGGGCACTTTAACTCAGCTTCATCATAAAATATGAGTGCAACATTGAATTCGAAATACAAAGATAATTTATTGAACGTCAAGGTTTTCGAACTAAGACTACGCAAGTTTTAGTGATTTTTCGTTTTTGTTTAACAGAGGACGTCTGGAATATGAATAAAACTTTAGAACGCACGTGCTGAGCTACTATGCTCATTTAATGTTTTGTGTCGCCATGTCCTCGTCGCCGCCACCGTTGCCGTCTCTGTCGCGGTTTGCTAAGGGTCCTTTTCCATGTTAGCCTAAGCATAAACCTTATCGCAGGCGAGGTTAAAAAGTAGATATACTTCATAAAATTATGACATGGGGTACCTGGAAATCTCCACTGATCTTAACAGGTGCTCTGGCATGCAGCCAGAAATTACCCTGGTCACCAGTCTCATTCCAAACCTTTGAACCCATCGACGGGGAGCCAAATGTTTTGACATACACATTCAGTTGGCCAATATGAGGCCCAGCCATATGGTACCAGAAATTCAAGCATTTGCCATTCTGTGCTCCTGTGTACTTGGGACTGATGAGCCATGCGACGTCGCCTTGTTGGCGAGGGGAGGATGTCTCGATATACATGTAGTAACCTGGAGAGTGAACATTTTAAAAGGTTAACAAAACTACTTGTAATTCACTTCCTACCGATCGTTTCTTAATCTGGACTGGAATTAATCTGATAAATACCAGAATAAACACAAGAACGATCCAAACCCACCATTGCTCGTTCCAGTGGTATGATCGGACGAAGGTCCTGTCCCCAAGGACGGTGTCCCCCCACTGTCACGCTGCCAATTAAAACTATCGCCCACTGTATTTTTCCATAAGCACATGTCAGTTTCAAAGTCACAAGCCTTTGGAGGTGGACAAGGCCCATCTGCAACATCCAAATCATCGAGGGCGATGTCTCCCATGTAACTACTACCACGAACCCCTTCGAAAATGACATAGAACGGCTGGTTGCTTATCAGGTTCACTTGGGCATATCTCCACTTGTTACCTTGTGTTCCTCTTCGAGTCCAAATTCTACACAATAAAACGACATTTAGCTGTCAGTTGAAGGCTCCCAGGAAGTCAAAGAAGAAATTATTATCTGATTTAACTGCAGTCTTTTCCAACTTTTCGCATCCTCGTTCTACGCAATATAATGACATTAAGCTGTCAGTTGAGAGCAAGCATTTACATCGGCTCCTAGCAAACTGAACAAAGAGTTTTTCTGGTTTTGCCCCTAGAATATTTCCCATAGCATAATGAGATAAATGACACAAGCAGATGATAGCTTATCATCCATATTGCAATAATTCATGGAGCAAATTTAAATTGAGTGTCCAAAGCACATTGTGGTTGCTTTGTTTTTGGTTTACTCCACTAGCTCCAGAAACTCGTCTCATCCCCTCGACCAATCGGACGCGAACCAAGCTTTAGGGTTTTCATGCGCATCAATTTCCCTGTCATTAATCAGAATACTCGTTGGCTACGGATAAGATTTTCCGTTTCCCTGATTGGCCATGTTGATTGCTTGAACTCTGGTTTGGCAACAACAAAAAAACCAAAAGGCACTGAGTTCTTCCACGAGAAGCTCACCTGACTTGTGAAGAGCTATCTTTACGGTAGACATTAAGGGTGTCCACGTGTTGACCCCACATATGGAACCAAAACTTCAGGCATCGTCCTGAGGTGACCGTGGTTGGCTGTATCAAGCCACTTTGGAGCTGTGCCTTGTCGTTCTGACGACGCGGAGAGGATGTCTCGATGTAAACATAGTAACCTAGCAAATGTTAAAAAAAATCGTATGGCTCTCTCATCCCATTTCTGACATAGCAATTGGGTTATATTAATATAAACTCAGCAAAAATTGATTTACCAAATGCACTTATTTGAGGGAGTATGGTGCTTCGACTATGAATTTGTACTTGCCTAGGGGAGGTGTTAAAATGCATGGAAATTCTACTGTATTTTAGCACATCTCACGAATATTACATAAGTAGCTAGGCTCGTGGAGTTTTAGATAGCTGTAGACTACGCATACGATATCCAAGGAAATCTTAATCGTTTAACTCAATTTTTGCCGTTGGAGCAATTTTTAACTGAGTATCGAAAGTAATTAGAAATTGCGTTTGTTTTGCTTCGCTGTATCATTGGTCCATAATAATCCATCAATCAGAAGCAATTTGAGCTCTCAATGGCTCCTTCTCATATTTTTTTCCATCACGCTAGGTTTCGTTGGTGTAACATACGGAAAACACTTAAAACTAATTCAGGATACCTTGAGAAGTTCCTTTCGTGTGATCAACAGTCGGTCCTGTGCTCCACGAAGCCGTTGATCCCCTGCTCCTTGTCCAATCGAAATCATCTCCATTCAGGTTTTTCCAGGAGCAGAACCCTCCTTCAAAAGTACAGTTGTTGATGATGGGAGGGGGTTTGGTGGGTGGTGGAGTGGGGGGCACCGCCAAGGAAGGCACAACAGAGCATTTTGATGTAGAGAATGTGATGTCATCGATTGCGATGTCACCACTGACGCTACTTCCTCTCACAGCCTCAAAGACCACCTGTAAGAAAATGTGGAAAAAATTGAACTCTATCGTTACAATAAAACTTTGAGAATAGGTATAATATAAAATGTTCTTTGCATTGATTATTATTTTAAATCGAACATTTCCAACATATAACATTCCAGCGAAAAATTACAAATTCTCGCCAGAAAATTATAATCAGCCTCAGTCATACATGAATTTTTCTACTGATTTGGTTATTCTGACCTAACTCCCGTCAAACTGCAGCCTTGATGGAGTCACAGCAGTCACTTCATTCAGTCACTTGTAGCAGTCACTGAATACTACACGTGCCTTCTTTTTTTTTTTAACGAATATTACCTGGTAAGGAGAACCACTTGTAATAGGGGCCTGTCCACTGTACCACTGGTCACCAAAGTTTCCACTGACCTCCCAAATGACACTTTCTGATTTGTTTCCTGGACCAGTTTTCTCCAGAATTCTAAGCGTGCCAATTGAAGCACCATACATATGATACCAGAACTTCACACATCTTCCATGGATTGTGACTGGTGAGAAGTCCTCACTGACAAGACGAGCCTTGTCGCCTTGCCTACGAGGTGATGATGTTTCTATGTACATGTAATGACCTGCAAAACAAGAGACTCGTTCAGCCTCACAAGAGTCGAGTGGTCTATACTGTCAAAGGCTAATCCTGGTTTCTATAGTATCAAGCGACTACCATGTACGAGTATTGCCACTGACTGGATGTGATGCTAGTCAATCGCAGATTACCCTATACATCAGGTTTTCCAACAGTTAGCCAGAATATATTTACATTCCTGAATGGAGAGGATTACCGCGAGGATCATGTGCCTCGCCTAAGCACAGAACAGAACGGCCTCGTTGCAGACTGAATAAAGCTCTGAGGTCGTAGGGAGATAGGGACCAAAAAGCCATTGCATCTCCAAGTAAATAACAAGGCCAACTATAAGTAACAACATCTCTTCCTTCTTATATACCATAGTTAAGCAATTAAGCGCCACCCTGAGTTAACGCCGACAAGAGAGCAAAAAATTGATGGGCACTGCCGTCGAACAAGAGCCACTCATAAAAATGAGGCATTTAATCCATAAAATACAGTACACTTCAGCTGCAGCAGTCTCACAACACAGAATACTTCACCTAAACCAGTCCCCAGAGTATGATCCACCTTTGGGCCCGTCCTCCAGCTTGGAGTTGCTCCTGCATTTCTCAGCCAGTCAAACTGATCTTCAGTCGGGGTGTTAGTATAGGTGCACATTCCACTTTCAAAATCACAGTCACCTTAAAAAGGCAAATAGTCATGTGTTTTAAATTCAGTTATTGGCTCACCCATTTCTAAATCAAACACTCTTTCCATCGTTTTAGATGTTACTGATTTACCTGGTAATGGACAAGGGCTCTTGATTAACTTCATATCGTCAACAGCAATATCCCCCTTGTAGCTCTTGCCTGCTACACCCTCTACCACAATCTGCCACAAGGGTTCAAAAGATAATTCAGAAACTCTTTAAATACTTGATAAAATTTTTACCCCTGCTTATTATAAATTAGCTATTAGTATCGTTAATTGTTGTAAGTATGCTAGCGTTTTATCACAAATATTGCAATCTGATTGGCTTTGCTACTTTAATTTATTTTGTGACAGAAAGTGAGCAGGAAACAGTGTGGCGGGACCTATTTGAATCATTATTCAACAACAGTACATTATTTACTCTCGATTTCTATGCCTGATTCGCTTTTAGCGCTGAGTCCAGAGATCTGACACTCACTTCTCCCATTTGATGTCCATAAATTTCTCTGTTTCCTAATTCTAATAATTTGATGTTATATACAAACAATAATCACTGTTTGAATAATAGTAAATGATTCATAATTGTTTCTGCAAAAAATGCACCTACCTGGAAATTAGAGCTTGAAGTGACTGTAACCTGAGCAATCTTCCAGATATTTCCACGATCACCCGACCTAAGCCACACTGGCACGCCAGGTTTACCCGATGGTGACTTCACGTACACATTAAGTGTGCCAATGTCTTGGCCATACATGTGGTACCAGAATTGGAAGCACTGGCCTCCCTTAACAGCAGGGTAAGTGGGGCTAATAAGCCTTGCTTTGTCACCCTGTTTCCTTGGATAAGACGTCTCGATGTACATGTAATACCCTATAAGCAAAACAGAAAAAAAAGAAAAATATATCAAGGTGATAACATGAAACCACGATTACATGCGAGGTGGGTTCATCCTAAGGACTAGACAAAATGTTCCCTGAATAGAAGTTTCTAAAAGAAACTTCCCAAACATATACAAAAGGTTGTACGAAAGAGTAACGTCTCTTTCAAGAACGTGATGACCATTTCAACATTTGATTTCGAGTCTGTTGTGAAGTTGTTACGTGTGTTTTGGGAACACATGGAAGGGTACTTACCATAGAAATGGCGTGCGGCTGAAACATTCAACCAAGCCCTTGCTACTATCTGCTTTGTTCTGAATTTTTTTTTTTATATGTGACCCAAAAAAAACCCAATTATGTGGTGGGGTGCTTGTCATAAAAACTTACAAAAAAAATCATTATTCAGCATTTCTTACCCTGTTTGGTTCCATAGGTGTGGTCAAATGCTGGCCCGGTCTGGTAACTAGCAGTGGAACCACTTGCACGGGTCCATTGAAAGTCATCAGTGGTATCTTGCGTCCAGCCGCAAGTATGTGATAATGATCCCACAAAGGCCTCAAAGGTACACTCACCTGAAAGTAAAACACACATGAGCTAATTAAACAACCGTGGAGGATCAATACATGTTGTCATAACTATGAATTGAAAAGCTATAATGGAATCCAACTTTCCTAACCCCTTTTGAAAACGAAATTGGTTCAAGTTATCGAAAGGTTTGAAAAATAGTGTGGGATGGAGGTAAAATGTCTTTTTCTTTATAACGAAGGGTAACTAGCTTTGGTTCAAGAAGGGTAACTAGCTTTGGTTCAAATCATGTGGAGTTTTAAGAACAAAAAAAGAAACCTTTTTAACTCATGGGCGTAGTGGCTTTTCCGTGCACTGCTGTACATTAGACTGAATAACTTTGTTGTGCCAGGAAATAACATAAAAAAGGCAGATTGTAACATGACAAAACCTAAGTCCGTTCTGTTAGTGAAACTAAACCTTAGCTGAAACTGTTGGTTAGCATATCAACCTAAAGAAGGGAATCGCGGAAATTAGCACAGTCCCAAAAATATATCGCAGCTCCTTATAGACAAAAAACACATAGTCAGTCCTTACTTGCTGCTGGACAATTGTTGTTTTGGAAAGAAATGTCATCCAACGAGATGTCCCCTTGGTAACTAGAGCCACGTACTCCCTCAAAAGTAACCTGCATTGAGATTTAAGTACAAAATATTAGGAATCAGAATTCAACTCTAAATTAGTTGTTATGGAAAATACCGTACTTGGAATGCTCTGCAAAGTATTTTTTTTCGACGGGTTTTGTTCCCAACTATAGTTCGTTTCTGACTTTTCATGAACATTGGCTTATAGGTAAGGAAATCTTGAGGATAATCTAATTTACATGGTGAATATATTATACTGCAATGTACGAGTCATACCTGGTAGGAACCTTGAGTTGTGTTGAATTGCACAAGTCCTTGTTTCCATTCATCAGCCTGAGAGCCAACTTTTTGCCACGTGAGAGTTTTTGGATTGTTTCCATCCTGAAAATGAACCACTAGTTACTAAATCTGAAGAATTTAAACCATCAGTTGAGAATACAACAATTTGTTGCAATAGGCTAGCATTGCAATGCTTTGCTCTTTTCATGCTCTTAATTTCCTGCGCAGACCATAAATGGTAAAAAAGGCATCACCTAAATCAACTTTGGTACAGCAGCCTATGTTGGTTTGGCTTGTCCTCTTGATCTGTCTTCCCTCGAAGCCCTTATCATAGCTTACACTAAAAAGTTACTCTTATGCCAAGAGAGGAGTCTAATAACACGAAAATACCACCGTGAATAGCTTGAAATATGAGGACACTGGTAGAACTAAGGATTTTCATTTCAAGTCTCGTATTAGCAAAACTCCGTAATCTCTTGAAAACAAAGGAAAATTGTTTTAAAATTTAAAACAGTATGAGCATATGAACACTACCTTCACGTAGACGTTAAGAGAAGCAATGTGAGGTCCAAACATATGGTACCAGAACAGCACACAAGCAGTTGGTCCTGACGTCGGAATAATTGGACTAACCAATCCAGCCGTGTCGTTTGGTTGGCGAGGAGATGATGTCTCGATGTACATATAGTAGCCTTGTCCTAGAAAGCGTTACAAGGTAGCAAAATATTTGAGACGAACTATTTTACACGAAGTAATCGAAGCGAAATAACACGGAAATGTTTTGTTAGCCTTTCATGCATCAAGAAACTGAGTAATTCTCAACTCTTTCATGATGTGCAAAAAGAAATCTATTCAATAATTTGAAATGGATCAGATCGCTCACCCGTATTTCCTAAAGTGTGATCATATTTGGGTCCAGTACCAGAAGATGCTGTGGAGCCCTGGTGACGGGTCCAGTTAAATTTTCCATTGGAGTCAAAAGTCCAAGAGCATATCCCAACTTCGAAATTGCAGTCATTTCCTTGATTTCCTACAAAGACAAAAACAGTATGGTATATTAGGCTTGACACCTCATTTCACTTTCTAGAATGTATCAACGTACATCTCTTATATTTCTTAACTGTTGTACGAGAGTTAAGTAACCAGTGAATATATATGTTCGCCTAAACATCCTACAAGAAGGAAAGTTTCAATCAAAGCACATGAATGTAGCCTTTTTCAATTATATGTGATGACAGTAATGTCCACAACCACAATGGCCATGAAAAATTACAAGGATCCAGTAAGAACAAGAACAAATGCCAAAGATAGCATGCAAACAGGCCATCTTATTCGCACAGCAGGATGCGCGTTTCCCCACCCGCGAGAAGATATGAGACGACTGGGGGAGTCTGGCACTAATTATGAGGTACGACGCACGCTAGTGCTGAAGCGTTAAAGTAGAGGACCTGTACTCAGGCTTAAAAAAATGCGACGAAGTTACCATTCGATTATTTTGCATCTTACGGTGTAAAAGGATGGTACATACTTTCTTGACCAATCACAGGGTAAAGAAAAAGCAAGAGTAATGCAATGATTTCCTTTAATACAGTGCATTATCTATTCAAGGGTATGGATGGACCTACCTATTGTGGTTGGGGTAATAGACGGAGATGTGGTGACAGGAGGAGCTGCAGTTGTCATGTTAACAGGCAGTGCATCATAAGGCTGCAACCTGCAGTTGGCCGCGCCAACCGTGAAGCTTACGTCATCCAGTGCTATGTCACCGGTATAACTATTTCCACGGATACCTTCAAACAGAACCTACATGAAAGAAATATAGACCATTCATGTTGTAAAAAATCAAGGCTGGTTCTATGTTCTGCATCCTGTAAAAGTCAGGGTGTTCATCAAGCAGATCTCTCCATAATAATTTTCATGTCCAGCACTTCTTTTAATTTAGACGTGAAAATTGGTCTCCTGTCACTTTACAGTATAATCCGCGAGGTACAATTTTGTAACGGAAGCTCAAAGGGAAAGATTGTGGCAAGTGGCAGATCTGGAATATTCCCAAATTAAGTATACATGCACTCTGACATCTCACCTGATACTTGACGCTGCTTCTTATGGGCGTTTGTCCAAGCAACCAGTTATCGCCCTTATTTCCTATTCTCTGCCACAGCAGAGACATTGTTGAGAAGTTGCCGGTGTATATGTAGACATTCAAGGTGCCAATTGAGGCTCCTTTCATGTGATGCCAAAACTGTAGACATCTACCACTACTGGAGGTCGGGTCAAAAGGTTCACTGAGGAGATATGCCTTGTCGCCAGGCACTCTCGGGGATGAGGTCTCGATAAACATATACTGGCCTAGCATTCGAAAAACATTGAAAATTGCACAACAATTCATTTTTTAGAATCAGATTTGAAACAGCTTGCAGAAAAAAACATATTTACTACCAACGACAGGCTGGTCCGTCGGCATTAATTTTTAAGGTAGGAAAAAGGGTGAACTATGCCAATTACAAAAAAGCAAATAAAATAAAAAAACCTACCAGAGCCTGTTGTGTGGTCTTTGGAAGGTCCTGTCAGAAAGCTTGGTGTTCTTCCACCTCCTACAATCCAGTCGAATGTATCCCCAGTTCGGGCGTTAGTCCAAGTGCACATACCATCGTCAAACGAGCAATCTCCAGGTGATGGACAGCTGCCATTCATTATTTTGACATCATCAATGGCTATATCTCCAGTATAGCTTGCTCCCTTTACTCCTTCAAAAACAATCTTTTGAAAAATAAGTTTACTGTGAGTTAAAGAGTGGTTTAAGTGGAAGACAAAGACACGCAATATGAAGTCAAAATGTTGGGATTTTCATGAGTGATCAGGTAGTGAGACGAATGATAATACTTCATTATTACTGTATTTCACCAAAATGGATTAAAATAACCGTTCTTACAAAACCCCATACCTGATATCCAATACGACTCTTGATGTTTACTTGTGCTACATTCCAGATATTACTGTCATTGCCTGTTTTGCTCCATACTTTAGACTTGAATATAGAGAAGGTCTCGACATATACATTCAATGTTCCAATGGTGCGGCCATACATGTGATACCAGAACTGAAGGCATGAACCCTGTGTGGCTGGATATCTTGGGCTTCGCAGGTGAGCTGTGTCACCCGCATTTAAGTTTAAGGGAGAAACCTCAGTGTACATGTAATGGCCTGAAAAGCAACAATACAACCATCAGAAACTTGATTTTACTTCTCCTCTCTTCTTGTATTCTGTATTATTATTTAAATGGCTCCAACTTCAACTCAGGCATTTTCAATATAACCATTTGCCAAAAAATAACTAAATGTTATACCATTTCAAAGCTTATAAAATAGTTTGCAAGTTTGTGTCTTAAGCGCAGGTCGCAAAACTGACTAATTTTAAAGCAAAGTTAAAGTCCAATAGTTTTCTTCTTGCCAGTTCTAGCTTGGTGTACAGTTAGTCTATTGTGATTTTTAAAATCATAAACAAAAAATTTTAGATGCAGACTTCTGGTTCTGACAAGGTTGTGGAAGTAAATCTTACCATACACAGTCCCATAGGTGTGATCTGCCACTGGCCCAGTGCCAATACTAGTAGTTGGACCATTGCTTCGGAGCCAGTTAAATTTGTCCGTGGTGTCATAGCTGTTTTGATACCCGCAGATGTCAGCTGCTTCAAAACTGCACATTCCTAAATAAGAAATATGATAAAGTTTAGTAACATGTTGACTGATGTATGGCACTTGTAGGTCAAGTTATCATTTAAAGCAAGAAAATAAGAAAATATCATCACGGGCAAATCTGCTATATATTCAAAAGTTTTAAGTTGGAGTACATTCTGTCACGTAATGTATTTAAACAAAATAAACGCTAGCAAAAATATTTAATGAATTTTAAACTAGTCTATGACAAAGTAAATGACTAAGTGCTTGAACAATCAGACCGAGCAAATCTCAAAGAGGTTTTCTCGTTTACCTGATGAGGGACAGCTGCCATCTTTCAGTGAAATATCATCAAGCGCAATATCTCCACGGAAACTTACTCCTCGAACTGCTTCGAAAACAATCTAAAAGATGAAAAAATTTTAAGGGTAAGAGTAAAGGAGAAGACAGCATCAGCGACTACTACGCTCATAAGTCATACAAATAACAACAAATTCTGCAAACCCATCTGTAGTCATTCACAAGGAGAGCAATGCAGATGTAATATACGCCATTCATCTTGATCAATTATGCAGAAGTTTAACCTAATTTGTGTAAGTCTACCAAAAACTGATGTCTATCTATACCACTCAAATAGAAATTCATTCGTAATGAAAAATTTTTGCACAAAATTGTTGCTCTCTTGAAACAAGAAAGGGTGCCCAAATTGTTGAAGAAGATTGTGAATGGCACTACGCATAACTAAAACTTACTTGTACATCTTTGATGTGTTCTACTGTGTACTCTCCCTGTATCCACTGATTTCCTTGATCTCCTTGCCTTACCCACTTGGGTTTCCCTAAGGTAGAACCAACCTTCTGGTACAGTCGTAACGTGTCCACATGAGGTCCATACATATGATACCAGAAGGACACACAGTGAATTGATTTTTGGGACCCATCTGCTTTAATTGTTGGACTAAGGATGCGAGCAGTATCATTAACTTGCCTCGGAAAAGATGTTTCAATGTAGACGTACCAGCCCTGACCTGTAGACATTCCAAAACAGTGTCAGCCTTAGATACCTCAAGTTAACACCTTAAATTACTTTCCTAAAAGAAAACGAATAAAACGATAATGATAATGATAAGGAATTTATATAGCGCTAAAACTGTAAACAATATTCAGAAGCGCTTTACATAAGTTAAAGTTCTCTACTAATTAAAATTAAAATATTCAAAGGCAATAAACAAACTAAAAGCTTTCCTCAATAGAAATGTATTAAGTTGCTTTTTAAAAATGGCGAGGCTACTACTTGTTCTTTTAGTTAGTGGCAGCGAGTTCCATAAAACAGATGCAGCATGTGCTAATGCCCGATCCCCAAGTGAAGAGCAGTTGGCTTTTGGAACGAACAGAAGAGATTGAGCAGACGAGCGAAAAGCATAGTTAGTAGCTGGTTTCAGGGACAAAAGATCTTTAATGTAGGGAGGACTTTGGTTGCGCAATGACTTGTAAACAAAGAGGAGCAATTTAAACTGAACTCTGAACGTTACTGGGAGCCAATGAAGGTCGATAAGTGCAGGTGTGATATGTCATGTAAAAGAGACCAAAAGGCTCACCAAAGGACAGCTGCTAAAAGCAAAACGGAAACTGCTCACAGTATTCATTAGATCTGTACAACAGTTCCAAAAAATTGTCAATTAACGTGAGCCATGGGGGTTTGTAATGACATTCAGAGTCTCTAAACAGTAATTTAATCCTTACGTGTGCCTGTTGTATGGTCGATGCTGGGCCCTGTCAGAACACTGCCTGTTGAACCCCTATGTCTTGTCCAATCGAAGCGATCTGTGATAGACTGGCTCCAAGAGCATATTCCATTTTCAAAGTTACAATCAAATGGAACTGCACTGACCGGACTTGTTATACATTTACCAACAGTTGTAGTAAATGTTATGTCATCGATCGCTATGTCACCTTGATAATCAACTCCACGAATGCCTTCAAAGATGATCTACAAGAATTATCATTGACGTCAGCATCTTTTTCAAGACAAGAGCTACATTTAAGGGTGATTTAACCCTTTACACCCTAACATCAGTATGCATATTCTCCATATTGATCTCTCATTTCTAAGTAGGATATGTTTTGCAATCAAGAGCCTCTTTAGTTGGTGATCATTTCCTTTATTCTCATGATCTGAATGTGGAATAAGGGGTGATATTGTAAACAAATTAGATGCTACTCACTCTTAGGGGTCATAGAGTTAATGCGCAATCAAATACAAACACTGCTGACAAAATTCACATTCTAATAGATAGCTACTACCATCCACGCAGACACATTTGCTGTGTGACCAAGAAGACAGAATGTTCCTTGGCCCTAAAAGGATAAGCTTCAAAATGCAGAGATGGAAAAAAGGATGCAAAGCATAACAATGTAATTTTCTGCCAAAACCATGTACATTTTGCGAATGGGTTCAAAAGATCTGAGATCTGGGATTCTCTATGTCAGTTGTTTACCATAACGCAAAAAATGCCATGACTAGTTAAAGAGAAAGCCTCAAATTATGAGTTACCTGATAATGGCGACCACCACTTAGAATTTGCAGTCGAGCAGCTTTCCACGCAGTCCCTTGATCACCAGAGAGTGACCATAACTTTGTCTCTGACTGCCCATACACTCTCATGTACACATTCAAGGTGCCAATATGGCTTCCATTCATATGATACCAAAACTGCATGCATCTGCCATTGCTAGGAGTTGCAGGGAAAACTTCACTTTCCAGCCTTGCACGATCTCCACGTCTTCTGGGGAGTGAGGTCTCTATGAACAGGTAGTTTCCTTTCACAAGAAAGTAAAATAATATGTTAATATTTGCAGGGTTCAAATAAACTCTTTGTCCACTATTCCATTATAAATCTTTTTTTGACGAGAACATTAAGTACAAATGCAATTATAGCAATTGAACAGGTTGGAAGTCTACAAATATTGTAGTAAATTCTACTGACAGTCTAAGTGAGTTTTAATTATTATTTGCCCAAGGTTTGTGGAGTAAACTTTGCATCAGTGAAAATCAATTTTAACCTTAAGCAACAACTAACCATTTGTTGGGTTACTTAGACACAACATGACGAGAACTAACCAAAAGGGAACAAAGATAAGTATGAGGAGATTATTAAAGTTTACTTGTGCAAAACTTTGAAAATCAGGCTCAATTCCATGAGATATCAAAAACCGTGCACCCACAGACCTGCATTAAAGGTTGTTAACACTCACTTTGCAAGGAAAGATAAACAGCAAAGATGCAAAAGCAGAAAAAAGATAAGAGATACTGACCTTTTGCTGAGCCCGTTGTGTGATCAATCTTTGGTCCTGTAAATTGACTTGGTGTTCCACCACTTCCTCGCGTCCAATCAAATTCATCCTCTAAGACATTTGGTGAGTTAACCCATGTGCACATACCTTTCTCGAAGTCACAGTCACCTTTGTGAAAAATTGCAATTTAACAAGGAAAAGTCAATCAAATGGGTTTCCAAATGTATTTTCATCAAAAAAAGGTATTACCATACAGATATGGTGCTACAGGTAACCTTGAGTAACTGGACAAAAACAGTGCAAGTTTCGCATTCTGTGTGTGTCTTTAGAGAGAAAACTAGTCACACTCTCTCACTCAGCCAAAAGAACACCAAACTAAAACCATGCAAATTAGTTATGGTCCCTTGCATCTTCCTAGTGTACAAGCAGTTTGCATTTTCAATTTTGAGTAGTCATCAGTTTCGCATAATGTTTTCTCTTGTTCTTCTTATTTGACTTTGGTCAACACTTCTACACAAGAATTGGACTCATAGCCCTCTCCATCGTTCTTCCACTTGCAAGGTCATACTTTTTATTCAAATTGCTATAAAAACAGTATCAAGAGGACACCATGCGAAACAGCAATCAATTAACACCCACTCACTGGTAAGAGTTCAATTAATACAGGTTTTACTGTAAGTTAACCGATCAGTCACAAGTCAAATTTCTGAATCACTTTCAAAACTATCCACCCACCAGGTAAGGGACAGGCACCATCCATGATCTCCACATCATCAATAGCAATGTCACCAGTATAGCTTGTGCCTGTGATGCCTTCAAATATTACCTAAATATACAATGATACATGTTATCTTAGTGCTATAGCTGGTAGCAAACAGAGAGAATACCACACTCATGTTTACTTTCCTTTCCTCATTTCAAAAGAGCAAGTAAGCCAAAACTGCCAAGGACCCACTAACTTGTATCTCTCATCCAAACAGCTTTTCCCACTTTCCTCAGTTTTTCCACAATTATATTCATGAGGAATGTAGGCTTAACTACTTACGTTGGACAATACTGGGTGAAGGTAAAATAACACGTTTGTCTTTAGGAAAACATAATATACTTAGTGCAAATGCTAAATATTCAATTTTAAGAAACAGTCGATAAATGTTACATTTAGTGTAAACAAATTATTCCTCTCAACTTCTTAAAGATTTAAGGTGGATAAGAACAGCATATGGGACAAACAACATTCTAAAGTCTTTTCCTACCTCCTATTACAACAAGTTGAAGCACTTACACTAAAGTCAACAGCACTGTTGAGTGTGACTTGGGCAACTCTCCAGATGTCACCTTGGTTTGAAGACAGGCTCCAGATTGGAGAAGAGCGGGTTTTGTTTTGTAGTAGAAGAACATTTAGGGTTCCAATGGTTGAGCCATACATGTGGTACCAGAACTGGAGACATCTTCCATTGGTTGATTTAAACTGTGGACTCACAAGCCAAGCCTTATGCCCCTTTGAGCGAGGTGAAGAGGTCTCGATGTACAAATAGTAACCTGTGAATGTTTTAAGTATAGAACTTACAGTTGAAGTGTTTCAAGTCCATGGTTTCTGGTTCCCTTGGTAATGCAAATGCAAGTGTATAGCAACCTGATATGTGTTCAGTAGTGAAAATCACACTTGTGGAATTGTAAGAAGAATATCAATGCTACTCAGGACTCCACTATTTATAATCTAAAGAAAACTGGACTATTGGAGTCATTCGCTCTCAGAGGAATTAGGAACTGGCATTTTAACCACTTGGTTTATCTCCCTCTCCTCATAAATGCCATGGTGTAGATTTGAATTAGTTATAAAGCATTCAAGTCATAAATGGAATCTACGTCAAAGTGAAACAAAATATTTTTACTCCGTTTCAGTAATAAGATTGTTAAAGCACTCTTCATCCCCAGTCAGAGTTCCAGCCACCTTGCAAATGAAAACAAAACCCTTAAGGGCATTCTGAGTGTGCATCTGACCCTCATGGTCAGAAAAAAGTAATAACCTTTCAAGAAAACAATTTGCTATTCTCTATATGACTTAACCATACTATTGAAAGACCTCTGAACTCATAAAATGGTTTGCCTGAGCCCTCAAGACAGACTGACACCCACCATTAGCTGTTCCTGTGGTGTGGTCAAGTGATGGACCCGTTCCTAAACTGGCTGTGAGGCCATTGGCTCGTGTCCAGTCAAAGTTGTCACCATTAATATTCTTCCATCCACAGAGCTTTTGATCTTCAAAGGAACACTGAGTCTGCGGTGGACACTGTCCATCTTGCATGGATATGTCATCTAGAGCGATGTCACCAGCCCAGCTGGAACCTCTGCGACCCTCAAAAACAACCTTAAGGGAGAAATATCAAAACAACTGCATGTCACTTTTTAGATAACTCAGCTTGAGCCACAAACATAATAAAAGCTTAGCTTATGGGACATAAAGTTCTCTGCACTCTACATTCCCTCACTAAATGCTGTATGAAACAAATTCTTGCAAGTATACCATGGAGATGTTCAAAAGTAACATCATTTTTGTTTACCTTAAATTTAGATGACACAGTCAGAGAAAGAGTAGCATGTTTCCATTTGTTTCCCTGGGTGCCACTTCTTGTCCACACGGGTGACCCGAGTTGCTGGTTTACTTTTGTATACACATTAAGAGTGTCAACATGAGGGCCATACATGTGATACCAGAACTGCAAGCACTTTTGTTGTGTGGCAGGGACCATTGCACTCTCAAAGCGTGCTGTGTCATTGGGCTTTCGTGGATATGAAGTCTCGATGTACATGTAAAATCCAGTAGCACCTCCTGTGGTGTGATCTGTAGATGGTCCAGTGAACCGAGATAGTGTACTCCCTTGATGCCTTGTCCAATTGAAAGTGTCATCCAATGCTTGAGTCCATGTGCATGTGTTGTTCTCAAATGTGCAGTCATAGATGGAAGGTGCTGTCAAGAAAAACATTTTACTAAGAATTGTAGCTGACTCTCGACCAGCTTAATATAAGCATAACATGATGCCTACAGAAAAGACATTTACCGAAACAAACAGTTCTCCATTTTGCCCCTTCACTCAATTCTGCTCTTTAAAAAAATCTCAATTTATATATGCATTTGTAGGTAGCTAAATATCCCGAGGAATTACACTTCTCTGGGATTTCAGGTTGTTTTGCAAAGACTGTAATCATCATTCTTCCAAGGGAAATAAAATCATTGTTTACCTGATGTTGGGGCTGTGATAGGTGGTGAGGTGGTCACTGCTGGGGTTGTCCAGGGGTTTAATGGCCTTGCACCAGGAGGCAGGACAACACACCAGCCAACTGTAAACTGGACATCATCGATAGCAATGTCACCTTGATGACCTTGGCCCCTGACACCTTCAAAGATAACCTGGAAACCAAAGAAAGAACACAAGTATTCTATATTTTCTTTGTCAACAGAGAGTAACTAAAGCCCACATACAGAAGACATTTTAACTAGTTAGTACTGGTATTTGTTAATTCATCCCAATTAAAACTCTGCAAAGAAAAAGTGTTTAGTTATAAAATAAGTTTTTCCAGCATTTTTACTATGTGAGGAAATCTGTATTAAACCCAATTTCTCTTTGAAGCAAGGAACTCTTAAGTTCTTGTTATAATATTAGTAAATGATCAGGTTAACAGGTGATGAAAATTGGCAAACATACTGTGATCAGCTATAGGGTGTTTTCTTGACTTGGTGCTAAATTCCTTTAACTAGTTTCCTAGGAAGTCAAGCTTTTAACAAGGTAAATGAATAGCCAGATCTCTTGAATGTCCTTAGAGAAAGACTGAGAAATCAGCTTCAAAAAGAACAACTTGCTCATTCAAGATCACAATCATTTCCTCATAAATTTCTATGATTAAACCTAAAAATACATTAACCTTCTAGGCCTGAAAAGTGACTTTATAAAAACTTAAGTTCAGACCTGATAGACACTTTTACTGCTGACGGGAGCTTGAGCAAATTGCCACTTGTCACCTTTATTACCAGTAAGAGTCCATATCTGACCAGATGAACCATTGCTGCTGATCCAGACATTAAGTGATCCAATAGAAGCCCCATACATATGATACCAGAACTTCAAGCAACGTCCTGATGCACCTGTTGGTTGGAATTCTTCAGACTCCATCCTGGCCTTGTGATTAAGCAGACGTGGACTTGATGTTTCGATATACATATAGTACCCTACCAGGATGAAATAAACAAGCTGCATCAGCATTTCTGTTTGTAGGATGCAGCTAAAATAAACAAGCTGCATCAGCATTTCTCTTCATAGTATGCAGCTAAACTTAACAAGCTGCATCAGCATTTCTGTTCGTAGGATGCAGCTATAAAATGGCACCTACCTGTTCATTTCATATTCAGGATAAACAAGCAACATTAACTGCCCCTGTTGTCTAGCAACAAAAAGCTAAAACAGCCAAAGCTCATAAACCCCTCCACAATTCTTCCTTCAGCAAAGATCACAAAATAATGATGAACTTAACCATTGAAAAACATACACTAAATGCAATGTTTTAAGCTCTTTCAAGGCAACCAAGTGCTTTTCAATACAAAAATAAAGCAAACAAAACAATTTCACAATGACAAGTCTGCAATTTAAAGTCAATTTCCATATAGGCATAGCCTTTTCCTTTTTCTTACAGATGCCAAAATGCAATATACCAAACAGAGCTTCTTTCTCTCTTTCTGCACATGAAATGCTGTAACTTCCAGAGGAGAGAGGGTTTTTCTAACCAATGCAGCATCAGAAATGTTATGTGCCAAGCCAGCACTCACACCTTAACAATCCTTCAAGGACATCTGTAATCGTCTTTCTTCACCTCCTTACCCAAAAATGTTTACTTATTGCTACATGTATGATCTTACTTTTCAGCTATTTACTCACCTCCTTTTGTCTTTGTTGTGTGATCAGTAGAAGGACCAGTGCCCAAGCTACTTGTTTCACCATTATACCGCACCCAATCAAAATCATCCTTTTGTGCCACATTAACCCAGGTACACATGCCAGTCTCAAAATTACAATCACCAGGGGGTGGGCAAGCATTGTCCAGTAAAATTACATCATCAATGGCAATGTCACCCTGATAACTGCTTCCTGCTACTCCTTCAAATACTATTTGGTAATCACTTACAGATGATACAGTTACCTGAAAAGAAAAACAAATTCATGACAGTGGACTTTTTTCCCCTTTACAAACTAGAGTTTCTCAGATTCCATAATTAACAATAATTATCAAAAAATGAGACCCTTTGCAGCACAGATAATAGAAGGAACAAAATAGAAAAGGGAAGCTGATGATATTTGCATAAAGATATCCTCCAGAAACTATTAACACACTTTTGTACTGGTTTTAACAGAATTGAAAATTGTAAAAAAAAAAATGAATTGAATTATGATAGTTTTACCTGCGCAACCCTCCAGCGGTTTCCATGGTCACCTGATCTGGACCACTGTAGAAAGTAGGTGGGTTTACCTTGAACCAAACGTCTAATACGGACATTTAATGTTCCAATGCTACGTCCATACATATGGTACCAAAACTGCAAGCATTTTCCGTTTGTCGCACCGTATCTGGGGCTTAACAGCTGTGCCTTGTCCCCTGTTTTTCTTGGAAAGGAGGTTTCAATAAACATGTAGAATCCCTTTGCTGTCCCAAAAGTGTGGTCAAAAGTTGGACCTGTTCCAGAGCTGGATGTGGAACCACTCTGCCTTGTCCAGTCAAAGTTATCAACACTACAATCATATGCACCAAAAAGGAATAATGAAGAAAATGGGATTCTTTTGTCAGAAGGTAGGATATATCATTTTTACCGTGGTACTTCTTTACCAGCACAGATCTTTTTAGCCTACTCTATAACAGCTTTTACAGCAACTACACCCCAATACTTTTGACTTAATATTTCAATGTGTACAAAACACCTCAACAACACAGAAAAGTGATTGCAATGATAGGGCCACCAGTAATTAACAAACTCACTACAGTCTGACAAAAGTACCTCTTTTCATCTGACCATCCACATAAGCCAGTTTCTTCGAATGCACATTCTTTCAGAGGTGGACAGAAGCCATCTTTGACAGCAATATCATCCAATGAAATGTCACCCAAGTAATTCTTTCCTCGCACTGCTTCAAAAACAACCTGTTAAGGTCAATCAAGATTTCTCAATGACAAGACCATCATTTCAAAAGTGATTTCACAGCAGCTTTGTTTATCAGCACAACAAATAAATGCAATTTGCACTGTTTGAGTGTTCATTAAGAACTGAATGTTATAGAATTCTCTGCCAACTACTTAGAATTTTCTGGCTTAATTTTAATGAAGGGGGCTATTCTTTGTTGACAAATGGGAAATATCATTTTTTTTACTTTAACCTTAAAAGAGCAAGAGAACCATTATCTCCGAAACCCTTCAGTGTAACTAGGATCCAATTTCTCTTCACAGTATCACCACTGGATCTAACATTTAGTCCTGAGAATGAAAGCAATGATTATGCACCAACTTAAAAACTGCTCATTTCCTACTTAAATTGCATTCTCATTGTCAGTACCACAGGGAATGTATAGAGAACAGTGTAATACAAATATGCCTGGTGATGTAATAATGTAAATGTTTATACAACTGTTTTGCTGGAAGGAAGATTTAACAAATTCATGGTGTAACCCTTTTGCTTATGATAGGATCATATCACTTGTTAGAACAACTTGGATATAAAAAGAAAACATAGAATACCATTCCCTAACCTGGTAGTTTAGAGGCTGCCTGACAAAGACTTGGCCATATTTCCATACATTTGCTTGATTTCCTTTCTTTTGCCAAATGGCTGTGCCAAGAGATCCTCCAACCTTCGTGTACACATTCAGGGAGTTAATGTCAGCACCGTACATGTGATACCAGAAAGAGATGCATGTTCCAGGTCTTGTGTTACTTTGAAGTGTGGGACTGATCAGTCGAGCTGTGTCATTCAGTTGCCTGGGATATGAGGCTTCAGCATAGGCATAGGTACCATTTCCTGAAAATACACAACAAATAACCATATTTATACACTATACTAGTAGTCACATATAGCTGTCCAATTTACAAAAACAAATCATTGCATCATACAGAGTAAAATTATAATTCACTGGCCACAAATTAGGCATGGATCTTATTGTACCAATTTACTGCATTGGACTCCATCTTTAAATGAGCCAGAGCATCAAAATTTAGTTTATTTCTAAGTAATAAAAGAGATAATGTAACTCCACAAACTACAAGAGCTTACCCAGTATTACCAGCATGAACTCACTAGGGTTATTTCTTCACCCTTGGAATGGCATACTAGTGCTATGAATAAATAACTCCAGACATTTTGTTGAGTTTTTGCTAACAGGTCAACTGAAACCATTTACAATCCTGAGTTAGGAACTGGTACAGCATGATTCAGCAACTTAAGCACTTTAGCCACTGTGTATCCCACATGAAGAGTATCAATTCCTGCCTAGACTGTACCTGTTTTAAGAGTGTGATCAGTGGTTGGCCCAGTGTCTGTTGATGATGTTGGTCCGCGATGCCTGGTCCAGTTGAAACTGTCAGTTGAATCTTGTGTCCAAAGACAAAAGCCACCTTCAAAGTCACAGTCAAATTTCCCCTTGGGTGGAATTGTTGTAGGCCCAGTTGTAGCTGGCAGAGTTGGTGGAGGTGTCGGTTTAGCATTGTGTGGCAAAACAGTACAGGCTCCAACTGTAAATGCGATGTCATCAATTGCTATATCCCCTCGATAGTCACTTCCTCTGATGGCCTCAAATACAACCTGTAAGAAAAGAAAATTTGCACTAACAATGTGAACCTATCACTGGTGCATGACTCAAACCTCACACACCTTATAAAGGTAGTATGAGAGGGTCCACATATGAGCCAAAACGTTTCTTAGCTGTAAGATAAGGTACTGCAGTTTAGGCTGATCTGCCTAAAGCTGCTCATCTCTACAAAGGACATCTTTGTATTGTTTCCCATACATTAAGCAAGCAGATCACTTCCTTACTCATGCTCTCCAGCATAATCAGTCAGAAAGCAGCCAGGGTTTCAACAACGATGACAATTTTTCAAAGTCTTTTATTGCAAATTGAAATATTCTGGATGAAAAATTTTGTTCTTCTGGGAAAGAATATGCTACTCTTAAAAGAAACATCAGCTCAAGATAAGAGACAGTCCTGAATCCTAGAAACAGGAAGAACACTGTTTTCATTTCCAATCAGAAACCATGGTGGACGTTAATCAAGGAAGTGCCTGAATACAAGCCATTCCAAATTCCTACCTGATATCCACTTTGCGCACTCACAACAGGGGCCTGCCCAAATTTCCATTGATCTAATTGGTTGCCAGAAAGTGTCCACACAATATCCTCAGACCGATTGCCTGCACCAGTCTTGACTAAAACATTTAGGGTACCTACTGAAGGACCATACATGTGATACCAAAACTTAATGCAAGAGCCACCTGTTGGTTGGAAGCGTTCACTGTACAGTCTGGCCTTATCTCCTGGTCTGGTTGGTGCAGATGCCTCCATAAACATGTACTTTCCAATACCATGTCCTGCAAAACAATCATAAATCTTCAATATTTATCCTGTTCAGAATAAAAATTAGAGGAGGAATCATAAAATGTACTGTTTATGCTGATACAACCTGGCTAGTAGACAGCCTTTTCAGTTGCAAATGTGTGTACATGTTTCTTCCCTGTTGTAAACAACTACACCATCTTAGTCATCAGACAATGTACACTAAAATTGCGTACATCAAACATACTGTAATTCAAAATTGAGTGAAACATTAAATCCTTATGATGGGAAGTTTTACAAAGATACCATACTGCAATCACATTGGAATCTACTAGGGGAACAAAAATATTTTGAGATTCCAAGGAGTTTGAGATGACCTGAGAGAGAGAGAGAGATATCTCAAACAAACTTACCTAAAAATGTACTTCAAGGGAAAGGGCTTAAAGTTAAAGTGCATTAATAATAATAATAATAATTAATGGAACAAACCTGTCGTATGATCAACAGCAGGCCCAGTAAAGGCTGATGGTGTGCTGCCACTACCAACTAACCAATCAAAGTTGTCCTCTCTCTTGTCATTTGTCCAGGTACACCAGTCATCTTTCTCAAAGTCACAATACCCTGCCTGATTACAAGGTCCATCCATGAGCTTAAAGTCATCAATTGCTATGTCTCCAGTGTAGCTTGTGCCACGTACACCCTCAAATAACACCTGCAAAACAGATTTAAATCACACAATTGACAATAATGTTTACTAGAATTAAATAGTGGAAGAGAGCACTTGTTCCAGTCTCCAGAACCCCTAAAAGGATACTCTTCTGGGAAGCAATCAAAAAGTTTAGATAGGGTGTCTAAAAGTTGTGCTTGCAATCCTACCAAAATATTACCATCCTCGTTATGCCAAAACATAGGATATTAGATGGTTGAATGTCTGTATCTACAAGTATAACTTTTGAACTATATACTTTCCAAAAGCACTATAATGTAGTTGAGATACAATTGAACCAAGTCTCCTAACTATTTCAAACAACTGAAATACATTGTGTCAAAATAAAATTTTTACATAATTTTTTCATATTGAATTTTACCAGAGTTTATGAAAATTACAGCAATTTAAATTTATCCAGCTACATTTCCCACATTTAGCACAATGTTGTAGTTAACATAGCTATCACAAGTGAGTCTTCAAGACAACCAGTCAAACTTACATTAACATAGTTAGGGATTGTGATGGATACTTGAGCAATATACCACAAGTTCCCTTGATCTCTCTGTCGTGACCAAGCAGGAATAGATGGAACTGTTTTTGATGTCATGAGGTAAACATTAAGTTGACCAATACTGCTCCCATACATATGGTACCAGAACTGAAAACACTTTCCACTCTGTGGGTTAATCTTTGGACCTATCAACCAGGCTTTGGAGTTAGGGGCAACAAATGATGTCTCAATGAAAAGGTAATGTCCTGTAAATACAAAGCAACAAATACATTAAAATTTAGTTTTATTATTTGCACCTAGTACACAGAGAAGCTTTTCTCTCACTTAAAATTACAGGCATTCAGTGATGGTAGATTGATAAAAAGATGCAAGTTATTGTTATTGAAAATTTCCTACAACAAAAGGCCTTATTATATACATTTCAACCCACATAATATGAAAGACAATTACATATTAATAAGACATTAGCCTTGATTTAGGTGCTTAGTTCACCCCTTTCCGCCATACATGTACATCAATGCCAGTTCCTTTAGAAGGTTTATAAGTTATTCTATTGATATTTAAAGATATTTCCTTGTTACCTCTGCCATCCCTAAGGGTGTGATCACTTGCTGGTCCTGTGTTGATTGATGATGTGTTGCCTTGACCAAGACGCCAGTTGATATTAGCCCCAGGATATTGCTTCCAACCACACAATCTCAGCTGGGATACTGGACTTTCAAAGTCACAGTCCATAGTTGGAGTACACTGGCCATTGCTGAGCTGAATGTCATCCAGAGCAATATCACTTTGGTAACTTGAACCACGCACACCCTCAAACACAATTTTGTAAGGATTGTTATTTGTTAGCTCTACCTGACCATTCAACCATTTGTTGCCATGGGAGCCAGATTTGGACCAGACAGGGGAGTTAAGCTGGCCACCAGCATAGCGGTAGATGTTAAGTTGCCCTATGTGAGGTCCATACATATGATACCAAAAGGAAAGACACTTGGGCTGCGAAGGGTTAGTATTGACATAAGGAGAATGAATTCTTGCAGTGTCACTAGGCTTCCTTGGGAATGATCCCTCTATGTAAACATACCATCCACGTGCTGAAAAGATAAACAAAATGCATGGTTACAGTCTCATATCTTAATTATTTCTTTCTCATCTTATTTAGAATCATTGGCTTTCAAGAGCCCTGGAGATGATATGAATGCTGTTCATATTATCTCTTGATTGCTGTTGCATTTTTGTAAATATTAAACAAAGACAATTATTACACTTAAATTTCAAAACTAATTCAATCTGTGCCTTTTTCCTGATTCTTTGCTTAGGGTTAGTTGGAAGAAGAAGGATGAAGAGAGCTAGATCAAGAAAGAAAGCAATGCAAAGTGTGTGGTTATAGACTTTGTGCTTCTGGAAGATAGCTACTGATCTGCATATAAATAAATTATCATGGGCTCCCACACTGAGATTCTTAACTTATACGTCTCTGAAATCACCTTTTTTCATCCAACTCTCCTATTACAACTCAGTTAAAACACTTTCTGGTAATAGCAGACTGATTGCAACCCTTTGCAATAAAGTGAAATTTATTTTTGAAGATAAGGTGCAATATGTGCTCAAAACAAGGGAAACTTCTCTTTTTTCAAGTATATAGTATTTTCTGATAGTGAATCAGATAATCTCTGTTTTGACTTACTTGGTTGCCACCTGAACTGCTGATCCTTGTTATCACAAGTTGTATTGAGGAGAAGTTTGCCATCATTTACTGCCTTACCACCATATGGAGTCCAACATTTGCTTGTTGGTAGATGCTGTATTGAACCTTTGGAGGTGAATTTCCACTTTTCACTGCACTTGTCATCTAACACAACATCATCAGCATTGACACCAGATCCCCCTCTTCGTCGCAGACACATATTGTACTTGGTATATTTAATATAACCATCAGATGTTAGCTGAAACTCCAAGCGACTCTCTCCACATCCGTCATAAGTCACTATAACAGTGCCTGGGGTTGGTTTACGAAACCCACCCAAATAGACATGTATACACTTTGCAGATAACTTGTGTTGAAGAGACCCTGGACCATTGGGTCCTACTACTCCTTGTTGTTTGGTGTGATCTGCCGTTGGGCCAGTCCCTCCAGAATATGTGCCACCTTGATGTCGTGTCCAGTTAAAGATGTCTGTTATGTGCTCTTGGGTGTAGTTACAAAAGCCACTTTCAAAGTCGCAGTTGTACAATGAAGGCGCAATGGTGGGTGGCAGGGTGAACTGGGTGGTAGCTGTGGGCATTGAAGTTGTTACAGGGTTAGGATCTGCATTAGCTGGGAATGTGGTACAATCTCCACTTGTTATGAGAATATCATCAATGGCAATATCTCCACGGTAACCAGTACCACGTATTCCTTCGAAGATGATCCAGAAGTCAGAGCTTGGAACCTTGCTGAGGGACACTTTTCCATTTAACCACTTATTACCCTGCTGACCTTGCAAAGTCCACAGAATGTTTTCAGACTTGCTTCCAGATGTTGTCTTTTGCACCACATTAAGGGTTCCAATATCAAGACCATACATGTGGTACCAAAACTGAAGGCATGTTCCTTTGGCAGGAACAGCACTTAATGTCTCGCTGAAAAATCTTGCCTTGTCGCCAGTTTTTCTTGGTGATGAAGCTTCAATAAACATGTAGGTTCCGTTGGCAGAGTTAGTGGTGTGGTCATTAGATGGCCCAGTGGTAGATGACAGTGTATTACCTTTGCCTTGTAACCAATCAAAGTCATCTCCCTTACGGGTGTTTCTCCAGGTGCATGTTCCCTTCTCAAAGTCACAATTTCCTACAAAGGGATTAAAAATTTTCACATCACTTCCATATGATTTAAATATGAATTCTCAGCTCGTCCTTATCCTTTTTTCATTTTTCAACTGGAAGAAGTTTTGGTGTTCAATCTTTCTTTCTTCTCATCACCCTTGAAATGGAATCACATTGAAGGGAGAAACCCCTGTTTGGTCAACTTTGAGAGGGAAGAGGATAAGACAATAGATGTAGGACAAAAGTGGTCAACAATATAACAGAAAGTGATGGATGGTTCCAAAAAAATGTACATCCTTTAGGAACTTGGAAACTATGGATTGAGGAATGATTGTTGTAAACTTCTACACATGATTGTTATAAAATTCTCAAGTAGTGTATTAAGACTGACAATGCACACTGAGACCCTCCAATTTGTCATTTATGTGTCAGATTTTGACTGTTTGCTAACTGTACAGGAAAAAGCCTGACACAAAAGCGCATATTTGGCTTTGAACCTTGGAATTTAAAGAGTGCAGTACCAAGCCTGTACTCACCAGGTGTTGGGCACTTGCCCGCAAATATTTCAACATCATCAATGGCAATATCTCCTGTGCTGCCAGCCACCTGACCTTCAAATGAAAGCCAAAATGGTTTTACAGGACTCCACACACTAACTTGTGCAACAAGCCACTCATCATCTTGATCCCCAGAGCGTCTCCAGATGCGAATACCCACTAAAGAACCTGTTTTCTTATACACTGCCAGAGTCCCTACCGTTGATCCATACATGTGATACCAGAACTTCAGACATTTGGCACTAACTTTGGGCATCTGAGGAGTCAGTAATCTGGCCTTTTTCCCACTTTGAGCAATTGAACTGTCGATATACATGTAAAACCCTAGATGTATTCAGACAAAATTTTAAGCTTGTGAGTATAATTATACAGAAAGCCCAACATGGGCAAATGGTGACAGGCTGGGTGTGAGATCTTGATCGAAGTTTAAAGGGGGTAAGTTTCTAAAGAATCTGTGGTGCTGCATCAGTAGGGGAGCATAACAAGATAATTGTGGCTTTATCAACTGAGATGAGAGACAAAACCAAAATTATCCAATTTTCTATCACCAGTTGTTTATTAAGTATCTTGTGTTTTTTAAATAATATTGCTGTAGAGGAGAGTAAAGTTGAAGTTCCTTACAAAAATATACAACAGTACTGTTATTAACATTTTTTCTTGTAATTGTGAATAGCCTTCCAGTCTCAAAATTATTAGTGTCAGTTTTCAACAGCAGAGATAGGACTACTGGTAACATTTTCTCTGCTAGACCATAGAATACCTTCTGATGCTCAATAGCATTATTTGCATATATAATAATATTGATAGGCAATGAAGAGAAAGCATCTTCACCCTTTCCCTTAGAAAAGCTAAGTGTCACCACAGACATACCTGAAGCTGATCCTAATGTGTGATCAGCAGCAGGCCCAGTGTTGGGGGTAACTGTTGCTCCACTGCCACGAGCCCAATCAAAATCATCCGTTGTATCCTGTTGGTAACCACACATGTGACTTTCTTCAAATGTGCAGGTTGCTGCAATGTCCAATTAAAACAATTCGAACAGTCAATCGAAATTTAGCCAGACATAAAAACAAAACTTTTCTTACATAAAATTTCACTGACTTCCATTATACTACAATTCCCCACACGTTGACGAGTTAATTCACAGCCAATTTGCGACTTCTCATTCTTTAACTTCCAAGCTCTGATTGTTAATTCTCTCCTTAGCTGCTACATGTTTCCTTGCTAATTAGTTACAAGAATTTGGTGTTAGATTAAGATAACACCTTCTATCAATTGAAATAAGTTTGTGTATTCTTATAGGGAGAAGTTACATGTTAATCATCTCTGGAATTTAAGGGTAAAAGTAAATGGGGGTGGACAGAAGGAAAAATGTGGAGCCACAGTAATTTTATAGAGGTAAGAGAGGTTCAATCATAATTTTTCCTACTGTTTACCTTTTTACACCCTAGCATCAGTATCTATACTCTTCATATTCTTCTCTAAACATTTCCTTTGGTACTAACAAGGACAATTGCTTAAACAAGCAAGACTTCTTAAGTTGGTGATCATTTCCTCTAGTCTCATGATCTTTGACTTCAAGGGGAAATTAGATGCTTGACACCCTTACAGTTTTAAGGTTTTAATTCGGTTTCAGGGCTGTTTCATTATTGAGCTTATTAAGAAGCAATAAACCTCAAACAACAAATAGTATAAATGTGGCAGTCAGCTTTGCTATATTTTTGAGCCTACTCTGAGTACTTATTTTGTCCTTGGTCAAAAGGTAAATATATATTAGGGCTGTTTCATCATTGAGCTTATTAGGTAGCAATAAACCTCAAACAGCAAATAGTATAAATGTGGCAGTCAGTTATGCTGTATTTTTGAGCCTGCTCTGAGCACTTATTTTGTCATGGGCAAAGTAAATATTAGTCTCTCCATTCAAAGTTCCTTCCTGTGCCTTTCCAACCCCTTTCCAACCCCTTCAGTTTCTCACAAATATGACAGCATGAAGATTCCTAGGCAATTCTGTGCAAGGCTCATGGCTAGGTTGTGAGATATCCTGTGCAGCCATACATTGAATAGTTTAGTGTCTTAGGACATTGGAAAAACCAGAAGCCCAAGAACATCTCAGGCATTTTTTAGGATGAACCAGGTGTTAATTAATTTTACATGTTGTCCAATACATACTTGAGTCATAGTTGCAAGGTCCATCTGTCATAGAAATATCATCCAAAGCAATGTCTCCTTGGTAACTTTTGCCAACTGAAGCAGACATTACAATCTGTAAAGAAATGCAGGGTTGCAGAAAATAAAGGTTTTTACTTTTTTTCTTTCTGCTTACTTATCACCTACAGTTAGTGTTTCACACCACTTTTATGTTTTTTTGTGTCGTTCACTAAAACTGTTATCTACAATACCATTATTTTGTTCCATTCCACTCCAATACATAGGCTCCTTTCATTACTAGAAATAACAGATCTCACAAAATGCCCCAAAGAATTGCACAGTTTTAAAATGAATATTTGACTTCAAGTTTACCTTAAAATGATCTCTACTGGTCACAGTTGCTTGGCCTTGAATCCATTTGTCTCCCCGTGTTCCTGTCTTAGACCACAACATTGAATCATGGGCACCTGTCCTGACGTAAACACTAAGGGTATTGATGTCTGCTCCATACATGTGATACCAAAATGACAAGCACTTTCCTTTGCTAGCAGTAGTTCCTGGAATAGAACTACTAATAAGCCTTGCTGTATCATTCATCTTTCTTGGCCAAGATGTTTCAATGTAAACGTACCAGCCATTACCTGCAAACCAGTTCACCAAAAGAATGTCAGCAAAACTAAGGAAAGACACAATAAGTAATCGCTATCTCTCACCAACAAGTGGACATCAGGGCAGATGTCTTGCCAATGTCAAAGTAAATTCTAAGTAACAAGTACCTGGTGGAAGTGAAACATTTCATTATTTTATTGTTTAAAAGTAGCATCACTGTTATCACATTACTAACCATTTCCTTTCGTATGGTCAGCAGAGGGGCCTGTTGATGATGATGCAGTAGAGCCTGCTCTCCTTGTCCAGTCAAACTGGTCTGTTTTGTCTTGTGTCCAGGTACAAATGTCTGATTCAAAGTCACAGTTTATGCCACCACTTGCTGCAGAGAACATTTTATACACATAAGTAAGGAACTTCAGAAAAAACTGATAATATGATTTGAGTTCAATATGCTATATGAGTTTGGTCACTAAATAGCCTACCGGGCACAATATACTTATACAGAATAGCAGACAGGGACATAGTTTCAACTCTACAGCCAAAAAACAAACACATATTGTGTGGGAAGGAAAGAAATGCTTCTACATTGATAACCTAAGATAATAAAAAGTTCATTGTTTACATCAAGTTTACAGCTGTGAGCAAAAAGAGTTTCTTGCAGCTCTTGTAGTCAGATCAGCATAATAAAAAATTGTTGCATATTTGAACATGATACTGCAAAGAGATTCCTACAACCTCCAAGACCCAACCTTAGGCAAATTGCCATTAACTCCCAAAGGTTGCCAAACTTACAAGCATTACAAGACTCTTCCATTTGCATTATTTGATTTTGAGTTTTATTGCATGATAGAATGTTACTCCACAAAAAAGGCACTTAAGAAAGTACACAAGAAGGTAACTTACGAATAGGCGTTGTTGTGGCTGATGAAGTTGTTGGAGCTGCAGTGGTAACATAGTTTGGAGCAGCTGCTGTCGGACTCAGTTGACAATTGATTCCTGGAAGGAACCTAAAGTCATCAATGGCTATATCTCCTTGATAACTAGTTCCCCTGATACCTTCAGCAATGATCTGTTGTGTGTATCAAAAAAAAATTAAAGCTCATCAGTACTGGCAGGGATGTGCTAATCTATCAAAGCCTGAATGTCACAAGAAAGTGGCTCTTGTCTTTGGGTAACTTGCTAAATTTAACCTTCATGAAAGCTTCCAATTCTTAAAACTACTAGGAACTGATAAATGCTTTACTTTTCTTATTACATTATCTGATTCTTTCTCAATCAAACTAGAGAATTTAGTGAACAAATAAGAAAACACCCTCTGGCTGATTTTCTGGTTTATTCACATCACCCACTAGTTGACACTAGTACAAAATTGAGAGCTTCAGCTGTATTCACCCCAGATCTCAAACAAAAGAGCCCCTTCAGGTCTCTTATAATTAAACTGAGGGAGCTTTGACTGGCAAACACTATAACCCTTAGAAGTAACAAATACATGTACAGCCACTTATTACAAGCAATAACACATTCTCATTAGACAAGTGACACTCAGTAAAGCCCTAACCATTGTTCTGTTTGTTTATAGAAAATTTACCAAATCTTCTGTATTCCTTGTTTTAAATTGTGCTTTTGTCAGTCTATTCAAAAGTTGTTATCATACATTACCAAATCAAACCTCAGAAGGAAAAAAAATATAATAAGGGAAAAAAAAGACTCTTCTAGACAAAAACATTTACATGACTGACATATTGGTTGAAACTGCCTTCAAGCAGAATCTTAATTTGCTTCCCAAGGCTGGTAATTATAACATTATTGCAGGCTGCTAGTAAAAGGGGGCTGACAATGTTTGGCTACCTTATATTTAGCTTGATTTCCAACTGGCACTTGTCCATTAAACCATTGTCTTCCTTTATTTCCTGAGAGGGTCCAGATGAGTGTTTCAGTATTACCAACTACTTGGTAAAGATTGAGGGAGCCAATGCTTGAACCATACATGTGATACCAGAAAGTAAAGCAGTTCTTGGAGGCCGTTCCATTAAACTGTGTACTGACTAATCTTGCTTTGTCACCTTGTTTTCTAGGACTTGATGTCTCAATGAAGGCGTAGGCACCTAATGACGAGAAAGAAGAAAAAGCAAAGAAAGAAAAAGAATTGTTTCCTTGCATAATTTTACTTTTGTTCTCACCAAATAGGTGGGAATAAATGGGAAAGGTTTAAAGGACTATGACACACTTGTATCTACTTTCTACAGTAACTATAGCCTTGTACCTTGAGAAGAACCCAGGCGATCTGTATCAGGACCTGTAAAGAAACTTGGTGTTTGTCCTGATCCCCTGATCCAATTAAAATCATCACCAGCCATGTTACTCCAAGTACAGAAGTCATTCTGGAAATTGCAGTCCCCTACAGTGAAGATCAAAGTAACTCAGGACTTTATTCTATGCTATGTATGGAGCCAAGGTTGATTGTATGAAGTTGTAGCATGTTTTAATGTTACAACCCTTGTTTTATGACATATGAAGAACTAATTTAAAGTTTTGCCTTTGTTTTTTGCCTCTTGTCTATGAGTGGTAATTAACGCAGTTAACCTTCTGTCAGAAAAATTGCAGATTTCTGTACTGAGCAATTCCTAATCATAGACCAATCCATCTTTTAAGTATGCCATAAGCCATGATACAGGAAAAAAGAGGTACACTAACCAGGATTTGGACAGTGGCCTGAAGACATGGAAATATCGTCAATAGCAATGTCACTTCTGGCACCACTTCCTCTTACTCCTTCAAAAACAACCTGTAATACCAAAAGAAATTATCAACATGCTTAAAATTGTCTTATCTGCCAGTGAAAGGGTTAAGAGGCAAGTTTTTTAACAGTGAAAAAAATGTAAGCAATCATAGTCAAATGAATGCGAAACCAATATATAATAAGAAAAGAACTTCTGTCAGTAAGTCAAAAGTAAGGTTAATGACAAACTCATAACTTAGTTGCAATTTTCCCACAGTTTTTGGGAGTGGAGAAGTAAATCACATATTTAACATAGCAAGTAGCAAATATCATAAGTTTTTCATAATTACATCTAGTTTGTGGTTTTGTGGTTTGCTCTTAGTAAAAAAAAAAATTATCTCAAATGTAATTCATCAGAATGAAACAATAATTGTTGTCAGTGCTAATCATGACAGCTTGTTCCCAAAGTATTTCAGGCATCCACAATTATTTGCAGATGATTGGAGTAAAAAGAAAAAGTACCTTAGTTTGTCTTGGCAAAGTAAGTTTAGAGGCAAGTACCATTAACACTTTCACTCCCAGAAGTGATGGACATAAATTTAAACCTCTCCCTACAATATCCATACTTTCTTCAGCAAACAAGTGATGAGAATATTCAAACTTATCCGGTAGAAGCTGCTATCTTGATCTAGCACCAAGTTCTCATAACTAATTTACAAGGAAATGTGTAGCAGCTACAGGGGAGAATAAAACCATCAGATCTTGGGAGTTGAAAGGTTAATGATAACAATACATTTTAATTCATGGAAACAGCTGGTGACCTGACAACACTACAATCTGTGGTTCTAAAGTTTCAAACACTGTTGAGAGCTAAGATTACCAAACTTACAGTAAATTGGGCTGTACTGTTGAGTGTGACACGTCCTTTTAGCCAAGTCCTCTGAACACCCTGGTCACCTGAGACAGTCCAAATTGCACTTCCAAGACTATTTCCAACTTTCTGATAGACATTGAGTGTACCAAGGCTTGAACCATACATCATGTACCAAAACTGAAAGCAACTTTCTGTGACTGTAGCCTTCTTGTATGTTCTCATTATCCTGGCCTTATCACCATTGCTCTGGTTTGAAGCTTCAAGTAACATATAATAACCTGCAGAGAAACAAAAGAAAAGTTACCAAGTAAGCATTTTACACTTACCACATTGACAGCATTAGAAAAGATGCTGCCATATTGTTTGCAACCAAGCCCGGGCTGAATCACACTTTTAAGGCTATTGGGCAACATACTCGTACAGAAGCCATCTCCACCCTGGAACAGAATCTGAAAATTGCAACCAGCTGCTCAACAATGTGACTGAGTCACTTCACTGTTGGTAACTAAATTCTAAAAGTTGTCTCCAGCAGGTAATTTATTTGAAGTCTCATCAACCTTCTTAATGTGAAACAACACACAAGGAATGACACGACACCAATAAACAATAGTAAATGACAGGAAAACCCTCACCAAGGTGATTGAGCAATCAACTGATTCTCCCATGCAGGTTTGAAAAATTTAGTTATCATAAGGTTTCACTGAACAGAATATTTTGGGAACTTACCAAGAATAAGCCTAGGTGATAATCAAAATTACCAAGAAATCATCAATATCATCAGCAGTTTATCTTATTAGCAATCAATTAAATCATAAAAAAATAAAACCTTACCCAATATAGATCCATATGAGTGGTCAACAGTTGGTCCTGTTCCTGGAGTGGGTGTGGAACCCTTAGTTCGTACCCAGTCAAAGTTATCTGTGTTGTCCTGTGTAAAGCTACAGCTATCATCTTGAAAGTTACATGGGTCACCTAGGAATAAAAAAAGAAACAAAAGTAGTGATCTACATCTCTACCTGCACTTTTGCTGCCACTTGCACATGGTACGTAAGGCCTGAATGCTTTAACATGAACAAAAATTGACTTCACTTAATATTTAATGACTGCATGCCTCTTAAAACAGTGAATAATCTCTCTCTCTCTTGCAGGACCTCCTCAACTTCTACCTCAGGGATCTGGTTCAAGCACTGTAGTGCCCCAAGCTCACTTCTCTACCTCTTTTTTTTTGGCCACCAAAACTTATGAAATAACCCCTAAAAAATGTTATATTAATTGAATGCAAAAACAGCATGATACCACCACATCCCTGGTATTTGAATGGACCAACACATTGGCATCCCAACTACTATGAACACATTCAGAGAGGCACATTAGACCACTAGGCTTAATTCTTGAGAAAGCAAGTTGGAAGACACAATATTATCAGGAAACAGACAGTACATCAAACAGTGTCCCATAACAGCCCCGTAAGCTATTATCTTATCTGAAGGAGTGAAAAGACTCATAGCCATGTTCTATACTACTAAGAACAAGCATCTAAGATTTTCCACAAGTTGTTTTTTTTCCAGGAAGTGTACACATTTTGTCTACAAATAACACTCACCAGAGTAATCACATGATCCAGTTGCCAACTGAATGTCATCCAAAGCAATGTCTCCTTTATCATTCCCTTCTGCTGTTCCTTCAAAAACCAGCTAGAAAAGGCAAGAAAAAACATTGATCAAATTACACTCAGCCACATGAAAATAAAGACAATATTATTATGTTCTATCTTTTTTTACAAATATGATCAGAAAATTGCCATACCCTTATTATCTGGCTAAAAAACAGATTCACAATATATAACCAGAAAAACTTTAATTTCTAAATAAATTAACTTTCTATAGTTTGTACAAAATTATATGATAAAGACTTAACACATTATTGATACCTAATTCATTAGCCTATAAATGAAATCAAAGATGTTTGTTTTAAAAACTGTTGGCAAGTTATTGTGCACATCCATCCTTACCTTAAAACTTCCTATCCTTGCCTTTTAAAATTCCTGGAAAAAGGAATTCCTTTTTTTTTCCATGCTCAAGCATGGAAAAAAGGCCAATGTTATGAAAGCCAATGTTATGAAAGCCAATGTTATGAAAGCCAATGTTATGAAAGCCAATAGGAAAAAACTTACAGAATAAGACTGGCTCATTACAACATCAACTTTGGCCAGCTTCCACTTGTTTCCTTGTGTACCATTCTTTGACCAGATAGGAAATCCCAAAGATGTTGTGTTAGCATACACATTAAGTGATGCTATGTGAGGCCCATACATGTGATACCAAAACTTCAAGCACTTAGTGGTTTTTTGGGACACAGAAACCAATGGGCTTGAGATGCGGGCAATATCTCCACTCTGCTTCCCATTCACCTCAACATACATATATCGACCTGCAAGAAACATACAAGAAGGCAAATGTAATTAGTCAATTAACCTTTCAAGGCTGCTAATATGTTTGGTGAAAAGTGAATATTTGGCTGAGAAGCAAAGCCTCAGTGGCAAATGTGAAATTTTTAGGACAATCTCTCAGCCAAGGATGTTATCAGCCAACATACAAGCAAGCCAGGAGGGGGTTTATTCATTTTATAACCCTCCCAATAATTTTCATGCCATGCTTTGACAGCAGAATTTTGTTGAATTTTTTCTGGAGCAGTATTTGATGTCAGCTTTTCAATGTCACTAACACTGAACTCTACAAAACAAGTGCATTTTGGTTTTCTTCCATGTTAAGTAATAAAGATGAAAATGAGAAGCTCTTGAGCTGGCTTCTCGAGTTGGCTTCTTCCCCTGGCTTTGATTTGTTTGTTTTTTCAATGGAAATAGTGGGAGGTTATTGTAAGATAACTGTACCATGATCTTGTGCCGTGTGATAAGTGAGTTATAATACAAAAT